TAGATAGATTCCTTCAAAACTATGTACAAAAAAGATAATTTTTTTAAAAGAAATATATAAAAAAAACCATCTTGCTTTCATATTTTAAGACTTTATTAAATGTATTTTTTTCTAACATGAATAACACTTTAGTTTTGGATATTTTCTTTTCATTTCTATATAAAATCAATTCTCAATCATTTTTGCTTGTTTCATTACGGTCTGAACCACGTTTAATTTTAATGCGTTACAGCTAATGAATAATTTCCATTTGTCTTGTCACTAATCAAACTTTGGATAAATAATTGTATTTTTTTTTGTCCGAAAATAAACAAAGAGATATGAATTCTTTTGTTTTGAAAATATTTTCAAAACAAAATTCCTACAATAATCGTTCAATTGTGGTGCTTGAAGTTGCAATGAGGTGACGTTCCAAACGATAATCATTCACATTCGCGTTGCGAACCCAGACCTGTTGTCCTTTTGCAAAGTTTTTGAAGTTGACTGCGTTCGCGCCGATCAAATGTAAACGAATTTGAGGGTTCGGCTTTCGTTCCTTCAAGAAAACATCTCGAACAACTGTGCCATTCTTCAATGCTCGTTCAGCTGCAATGCCTTTGACCGTACCAACGAAATCTGAAAAAGATAACAATAAAAAACATTCAGTGAATCTATACACAAAAAGTACTGTGTTAGCATACACAATTTGAAATCAAACAAAAAACATCTAGTGAATGTATACAGAAGAAGCATTATGATTTTTAAAATACTGATAAATACCGATGATGTCACCAACTACCGTTTGACCACTCTTGATTTTCGTCAAATCATGGGCACAGTTGCGTAAATCTGTCGTCACAGCTTTGTATACCGCATCCATATTTTTTGCTGAATTCACAATTTTACCGCTGTTTGACTTGACATGTAACTCGTAACCATGGATAAGGTTTGTGCGGTCACTTCGGTTGCGAACAATAAAATTGCTGATCACGCATACCTTTCCAACCTCCACAATGTAGTGTAAGCAATCACTGTCATACACGCTAACCCGAATCATGTCGTGAGGCTCGATTCCATCGCACAAGTCGAAGAAAAAAACGGTGCCCGGCTCGGAATTCAGAATCAATGATTTCGAAACGACCACGCCTTCTACGCTGAAATCGGCATTGAGTGCATCGATATCTTTGATGGCGCCAATCGGTTGATGGTTCAATGCAACTGTTTGGCTTGATGGTTGATTTGTCGATGTACTTTGACTTGCCACTGGTTGGCTTGGTACGGCCATCGGTTGATGGTTCAATGCAGCTGTTTGGCTTGATGGTTGATTTGTCGATGTACTTTGACTTTCCACTGGTTGGCTTGGTACGGCCGCCGACGATAAACTCTTATCAAAATACAAAACTGGCTCTCCATAACAATCCTGGCGCTGCAAAGCTTTCCGACCAATTTCAGTTATCATCAAAATCAATTTTGCACCATGTCGATTTCCCTTGATGATTTGAAAATTCAAAATTTCGAAAAATGCGAAAATTGGAATTGGTATGAGCAATGATTTTTATTTTGCTGTATGACATAACCACAAAATAAGTGTTGAAATTTGACAATAGAATAATGACACACACACACACACATTTGTCAATTTGAAAGAGTTGAGCTAAAAAAGTTGATGATTTAGTTGAAGTAGGCAAAGAATTTGATGTTGTTGACTTGAAAAATGTTGATTCGAAAAATGATGAAAAGGTGCAGTCAATTTTTGATGATACATCCATTATGTCATATTTTGGTGGTGATAATGATGATTTATCATCTTCAAAGCGATGTTTGAAAATGTTATACCGGTATATGTTGTATCGATTTGATAAAATTGACCGTAAATTTGATTTCAGCGTTGAACAGAGTGAAGTTTGTTCAAGAGCATATAAAAGTCTTGAACAAATTTTTCTTGGCCTTGAAAGTTGCATATTTGAACAAAATTCGGTGACAGATTCTAAGTTTTTTATTAAATTAGATTCGAAAAACAGTGTGTCTGGTAATTGTGTGTATGATCCGATTACTGGAATTAAACTTCCTAATAATGATCGAGGGCCTTCATTTATTCGTTTGAACAATTTAACTCGTTTGTTTTCGTTTATATTTTTATTGTTTTTATTGTTGGAGTCTTGGTTGTTTGGTTGGATTGATATGTTGCGTTACATTTTGTATGAATTAAGTCAAGCAACAAATGATACTTCAGTTCAGTCTTTGCCCAAATTTAAACGTTGTTTGACCGAAATTTTTTCTATGCTTGAAGTGGGCATTGATGAAATGTCTGGTGTTGAACGTAAAAATGTTAGTTTTGCATACGGTTCAATGGTTATAAATTATAACGGTTCAAGGGCTGCATCGAAACGAGTCGATTATTCAACGGATATCACTTTATTAGAAAAATTTGATATTTTAAATGATACGATAGAAATTGCTGATTCGACTCTATTTATTGGTTTACTGGAAAATCATGCTGGATTGAAAGCATTTGCTAAAACATTTGAAAATAAGTTGAAAGAGCGCGGAAAAAATGAAACCTGTGTTTTATTTGATCTTTCTGGTACAGCACATTTGAATGTTCGAATCATTTTAAGTGTGATTAATGTAAATTATCCATTGATCCCGATGCCAGCTGGAGTTGATGGTGATTTTGGTGGCTTACGTGTTTTTCAGATTATTCGATGTGGTTCACATAATGCAGCATATTTGAATCGGACTTTAGCTATTCCACGTCACAAACATGTTGAATGTCGTCTTCAAAATGTTGATAATCCGAATGCACCTTTTATTCTGTATAGAGGTTTTATTGATGTAGCTAAGGTGAAAAAAATCAGTGACAGTCGAGATAGTTATTTGAGAGATTTTGAATTTAATACATATGCAATCAATGAGTTGAATTGTATGTTATATAAACAGCGTACGATTCAATTGGCTAGCTATGGTAGTGAGCGTGAAGTATTTGTTGATTCGTTTTTAAAGTTTTTAGATTCTTATACGCGTGACGAATTGTGTTCTGAATTGAAAGATGGTGAATGTTATTTTAGATTTCTTGAAAAACGTTCATTCAACGATGCTTTTGAATTTTATACAAATCGTCGTGAATTGAATGATGCTATTGTAAAATTTAACGTACATTTACCAAATCAATTGGTGGATAAATTTATTTGTTTGATTAATCAACAATTTAAAACATTTAATATGCGTGCTATTGCATATTTGAATGTTTTAAATCCGTCATTATGTACTGTCGTCAAAACTTTTCGAACCGATGATATACAAATCATTCAAAATGGAGATTTGTCATATGTTGTTGTTCATTTTGAAAGTAAAAATCATATTGTACACGTGTATTTGTCTAGCAATTTGATTTTGTTTGATAAAAAAAAATTTGCAACATTTAGAATCAATTATTCGTAAATTGTACGCATTTGTTGTTTCACTTCAAATTCAATACCATGTCGTCGTTGAAGACAGTTTGTTTCATTCAGCTGCATGGTCTATGGTATTTTGTGCCGATATTATATATGCCGGTGAAAATCCTATGGATCGAAAAGCTGCTGATTGTTTAACATTTGAAGATAAATATGATTGGATTTTTGGAATTTTATTGGAATCGAAGCCAATTGTTGGTATCGTTTAAGAAATTAGAAGGGAGACATTAAAATGAAAATGAAAAATATAGTTTTAATAGTGAATGGAAAAAATATACTTGAACAAAATATAATTTTTGATAAGGAAAAGAAATAATTTAGTTGTAGTTTAGGTTTTTAAGTTGATTCATGTATGAATAAAAAATGTGAAATAAAATTGAATATTATTACTTTTTGTATGTTTTATTTTTAATTGATTGCTTTAAGTCTTAAAAGGGTTAGTATTCAATGGTATGACCGAAGCTAATAGCTCCTTGGATTTTCATTGTTGACCTTTTGTTGATTAATTTTTTTGGACTTGATTTTGATTGCGATGTGTATGTATTGATTTGGTATGAAATGTGGTGATTCTATTTTTAGAAAGAAAAAAAAAATATAAAAAGAGTAATTTAGAATGCCCTTAATGAAAATATGCAAATAATGCAATGATCCAAAATACTTGAAAATTCATTGATTTATAGTGTTAAAAATATTTTTACATTAATTTTCGTTACTTTTCTGATTTCGTATTGCATTCGAAATTGAATCTCTTTCTTAATATTTTGTTTATATAACGAAATTAACGAAACAATTGTCGGTTGCTGCCAAAATGCGTATAATCAAGTGAACTATCAATGAATCAAGTGCGCATCAGTTTTTGGCTGAACATTTAAGTGTGTTTCCTTTTCTAAATTCCGTAGAGTTTCTTAAGAAAAAATGGAGCCAGCACAACCTTCCAAGACTTTTCAACAATTTTACAAAAAGGCATATTTTCATTAAAACAAAGCGAACACTTACTTTTCATTTTATCAAAAGGAAAAAAAGTTGAAAGGGAGATCGTTTAATTATCATAGAAAGTTTATGTTTTCACACTGATTCTGCTTCGCGTGCTTGTTGACGTGCGATGTTTTTGATCATTCCAATATGGAAAATGTTCACAAACAACTAACTACGTTGGATAAGGGATTATTTTCATGGTTTTTTTAGGAGAAATTGTGATTTTTGATTTATTTATTTTTTGGCCAAAGAATCAACTGACAATAGAAAAATTGTTTGAACTTGACCTTGAAAATACCAAACGAATTTGAAAAATACCGAAGAATGCCTAAAAGCGTTCCAAAATTACCATCAAAAGAACAAACGCTGAGCCTCAAAGGCATTTCGTCAATCACAAACTAGGAATATTGTGCAAATCTGAAGTGAAACTTAAATAAATAGCTTTATTGAGTAAATTTTCTTTGTGTAGATCATTTCTTGCTTGCATCGACAGGCGGGAGATATTTATTTGTTGCGTGAATATTTATCATGATTTGCTCAAAATGTCTAAATTGTTCAACTAAAATAAAAAACTTGTTCGTCCAAAATATAAATTGTGGCTTATCAATCATACAACTTTATAGACACTTATATTCAAAAATCCATCTACAGCTGGCTTTAAGTACATATGCAATTGAACTCGCGCTGGCGCATTAACGCTTGTATAACACTGAAAGCAGGAGTGGTTGAAATTTGCTTTGGTTCACATCGAATATGTTCAAACTGGTTGGTAACGATATCACTGGCTTTAAACGTTTGCTCTGCGCTCGCTTAGGCTGAGCAATGATTCATTGGCTTCGGTTTTGCGACGCAGCATTCCCAAGCGTTGTTTACAATAAATTTGCAAAAATAACGCCGAAAATATAATCATTACGCCAAAGATGCCGACAGCCGAAATGTAATGCCCATACATGATGCATGATAATAAGACTGCAACGGCCTAAAATGAGAAGGAGAAGAAAGAGATGATAAGTGGATGACTGGAGGAAAAGTTGCGTTTTTTTGCAGAGATATAGATGAAATAGACAACAAATTTTCAACAAAAATTTAAGAAAACTCCCATAAATAGTTGACATTTACCTGCCGAAGAGTCATTATAATGGAAAAAACCGTCGCTCCAAAATGTGAGATCGTGTAGAATATGAACAACTGTCCAGTGGCCGAGCAAATTGATAATATTTCTAACCTAATAAATAAACGAAAAAAATGGTTGTCAACAACATTTATGAAATCTTTTATTTCGAAAAGTGCGGGAATTTTCTGTTTTAAAATTTACAGCTAACTTCAGTTCAAGACAGCTAACCTCAACTTGACGAACAACAAAGTCGAAATGTCATACTCATTTTATTTCACAACAACTTCGGCGCTTGTGTCACGTTCATCGACGTCTATTCAACAGAAAAATCGAAGTTAATCCTTGAATTGTGTCTTGTCTTGTCTAGTGCTATAAAAATTGACTTAATTTAATAGACTTAAATATTATTAGACTTATATTAAATTGGACTTGAATTTTATTAGACTTATATTATGTTAGACTTAAATTATATTAGACTTAAATTAAATTGGATTTAAATTTTTTGTTTATGGGTTCATCTTTTCAATGTAAGTCATTGGTCAATGTAAATCTAATGTAAGTCAGTTTTTTCAATAACCGTTAGGTACGAGCGACGCAAGATTCGGGCGGACCTACGTTAAGACTTATATTAAGACTTAATTTAAGTCGAACATATGTCGAATATAAATAGGTCCAATATAAGTAAGTCTAATATGAATAAGTCTAGTATAAGTAAGTCCAATGTATGTCCGCCAAAATCTTGCGCCAATCGCATCTAACGGTTATTAATTACTGATTGTCAGCAATGTCAGCAATATTATAATGCTATTGGTGAACAAGTTGCGGCTCAATGAAAATTGTACAGCCGTTTAGTCTACATTAGGGTGTTCAGCTAATCTGAAAAAGAAGAATGAATAGCATAAATTTAAAGAGAAGCCAATTTTATGTCAACTGGTAGCATTAATAGAGCGTTATACAACACTTCCAGAAGAAAAAAAAACTCTTTGCAAAATCGAATAATGCTTACCTAAACGACCCACTAGAGTACTCCTGCGCAGTTAACATCAACCAGATGGGGAGTCAACTTGCTTCAACGCAACTATCCCACATGATCGGGATAGCCTTTAATAACTAATGTTACATTTGTTTTTTTTTTGTTTGCAATGTGCTGATTAGACAGCATGATCAGCTGGCTGCTGGTCGTACTCGAACATTTCTACATCATTATCCACGATGGCGGCAGCAGCAGCGGCTGCTTCAGCGGTTGCTCTAGCGGCAGCAGCAGCGGCAACAGCAGCGGCTGCTTCAGCAGCTTCGCGCCAATACCTATTGATCGCCTCTGGTATCTGAAGTCCCAGTAATGTCCATAGTCCTGAACAATTAAACAAATGAAACTTCTTAAAAAATCATTCAATCGAAATTGTGCGTCAATTAGCCTTACCTTTCAGTAGAATGTTCTTAGCAGCCACGACGTCACGATGCCAAATCACAGAGCATTCGAGGTTTAATCGCCAGTTTTTGTAGTAACATTTTACTTTTGGGAATAAACGCTCGTCTCCTACCAATGCTTCTTCGTTCATGGCGCGTTGCAACTGTCGGTAGATCGATAGATCCGTTTTGCCCAACTTTGACACAATTTTCGTTGGCAGCAATGTTCTGGCGTCGGGTACGCATCGGCATTTCTTGAATCTGGCCGCTTTGTTCTGGTTTTGGAATCGATTCATACATCTTGCGTCGGTTTGAGATGTTCCCCATTCGTCCACCAATTGTATGAAACAATCTCGGCGCTTCTTTATTGACCTCAAAGTCTTACGCACCCCTGGGCACCGCACGTGCTTCTTGATACTTATTCGGCGGTATCAGGTGGTATTTCGCCATCAGCACCAAAAAAGAACAGAGTCGGTTTCTTATCGGTCACCTTATTCACCCATTCGTCGACAACACTACTGCTCTTGATGTGTTTGTCCAAGGCGAGTCGAGTGTATTTGGCAGTCGAGTAAGCGCAGATTCCATGCTTCATCATCTTGACTCGGTGTTTGATGTAGTTCAGCCACATTGACCCTTTTGGCGACGGCATCACTGGATACAGATCACGGTTTTCTCTGTCTGCGCGCTCCATTTCGACGAAATTTTTGGTCCATCGCGCTGCTTTGGCATTTCGCACCTTTTGACCTGTTTGCCAGTGGAATTGCTTGCTCGACATTACAAAGTTGGTCTGAAAAAATAAATAGAAAAAAAGGTATAGTTATTGAGTTTTGGCACTTAAGCATTTTCTATTAAAATACACACAACTTATTCAAATGTATACAAAACTTACTTCTTTGCCAGTTTCAATGTCGTGTGTTGTTGTGGTATTCCAACTTCGCACACCTGTATCAACGCCCGAAAAATTTTTGATTGTGCCATCCTCAATCTTCTGAATGATGCGAGATTTTTGGTCGATTTCTTTGTTGGCTGTCTTCTTTTTGGCCGAGTACTGGAGAGACACAGAGATTCCATCGGTGTTTATGGAATAGTCAAACTGCTTTTTGGCACGCACGAATCGTCGAATTTTTCGCATGTAAAAATACTGATTCCACCAATAATCTCTGTCCCGATTGAAATCCTTTTGTTGAATCGTTTTCGTGCTTGTTGTTCCTTTTTTATTCTCGATTTCCACTTTCGGTAGCAATTTTTGCGAAGACAACACCTGGTGCATGGATGAACAATCGATTCTGAAGTGCGTACGCCGGAAATCACACATCGGCACCACTACTAAATTTCGGATGAATGGCCGAAAATCTGGGTTGTCGAGCATTTGGCTGCGCTTGCGTTTCCATTTTCCTTTTGTCTTTTTTCGCTTTCTCTTCTTGCGTTTGGGTCGGCGCTGATGTGGCCACTCCGAATTGTACTCTTCTATCTCGCGCTGCATGGATAGGTACATTGGCATGGCCTTATACCAATGTTTTGGGTCAGTTGTAAGGTCATGCAGATCGATTTCTGGGAACACATTGCAATCTCTCACGATATCATACAACACCTCACACCGTACAAGTTTGTTTGGATCGCGACTTGGCACTTTGATATCTTTTTGCTTGATGATCAACTTGACAACATTTTCGATGTCACTTGGCAAAAATTTCTCTCCATCCTCTTCCAAGTTTGAGTTCAATTCAAACACTTTCAGTACCAAGTACTGGGTGATGTGTTTGTTAGCATGCGTTTCAAGATTGGTGACCACGTTATCTGTGTACTGATTGCTCAAATGCTTAAGGCCATTGCAGAAATCTTTGTTGTTGGGCCAATCGATACGATGATAGTCGTCAAGACCTTCGACAATTGCCTTGAATTCAGGATCGATACGTGGCAGCTCTGCTCGTGGTCCTCGTGGCTTTGTTCCGCTTGGTTTATACCTTGACTTCGGTTTTGATGGCTGATTGTTGTGCCATAGCACTTGTTCAAAGCAGAGTTTGATCTTATCTTCTCCACTTCCACCAAACAATGCGAAATTATTGTTCTCGACGCCTATATTCGAACGCCTTTTGCACCTCAAACAAGAACAGCAATGAGCCCAAAACACAAATGGAAGTGGCTTGCAAACTCAGATCCGTTATTTTGCTCATCAATGCTTGCTGGTATTGTGGGCGAATGATTGTCTTTAGCGCACATTTGATCGTCGTAATTTCATCTTTCGTCTCTCCCCCCGCTGGTATTGATGGCTTGAAACGATTCGCCATTGTCCTACTGAAAGAAAAAAAACACACATTCGATTTAGTTTGAAAACGAATAATATTGAAACTTAAATTCGATTTAGTTTGAAAATGACAACAGAATGAGACACACAAAAATGACTTCGGTTTGATAACAATGGCATTGATTCAATTTGAGTTCGAACAGTAATCGATTAACTGTTTCTCTTCTCCGAACAATGGACTCAATTCATTGCATAAAATGAATTTCACCATCACACGTATTTCACCATCACATGTAACAGAACTATGTACTGCAGAATTATTGTGAAATTCATTACTTTTGTACATGGAATCTAATATTACTGTTGATATGTTCAATATATTTCACGTTATAAATGCTTATAAAACGTTTTTAAAATGAATTCCACAATAAGAAGAAGAGATTGAAATGATCAAGTTTACTTACACTTTGGCGACTTGAATTCAATGTGAACTCCGGATCAAATCGATACAAAACGCACGTAAATCGAAAATAAAACGAAATGAAATACCAGCAAAATCGTAGATAAATTAAATTGCAATGTAAATTTCCAGTTTAAATTGTAAGATAAAATGTAAGAGTTTCAATTTGTTGACTTCGTGTTCACAACGCTGTATGTTTTCTCGGAATGAATGATGCGGCGTCTGTGACATTTCGAAAACTGCTGAAGTGAATGTCAAATGCCATACGGATCGGTTCACATTGCTAATTTTTAGAACATTAGACAATTTGAGCTACAAAGAGTCAATTAGTACTAACACATAAAAACGGTTATATTTCGGTGAAATTCCAAATTTATTAGCAATGAAGGACGATTTATTGTTTGATTCCGATTTTTTGGGCCGAAATCTGCGTAGAAATCATATATTCTTATTTGACTCCCCAAACCTGAACACCCTAGCTCTACATACACCTTCGATTGATCAATTCAATTCTCTAGAGGTAATTAAGATATTCATGAACTATATAGCACTAGACAAGATTTTTCTGTTGAATAGACGTCGATGAACGTGACACAAGCGCCGAAGTTGTGATGAAATAAAATGAGTATGACATTTCGACTTTATTGTTCGCCAAGTTGAGGTTAGCTGTCTTGAACTGAAGTTAGCTGTAAATTTGAAAACAGAAAATTCCCGCACTTTCTGAAATAGAAGATTTTACAAATGTTGTTGACAACCATTTTTTTCGTTTATTTATTAGGTTAGAAATATGAATTTTTCTTTCGAAAACTTAATTGTTCGCTTTAATGGAATTTATGGAATAACTCGTTCTTTTATAAGCCTTAAATTGATAGCTATGATAAATCCTGTGTCTGTATAAATCTACATCTTTGCAACAAAAGAATAGTAGTCAAAATCTGTGTTCCAATCGTAAGAATGCTTGCGTTTCAAGTCGATTAAACTGTAGTCAGTTTTGTTGGTTGCCCACTTTGTTGCCAAGTACACGTCACTTTTCGTGCTCCAATTAATTTTTCACGCTCCTTGTTCCATGCCGCGAGATCAAGAACAATTTTCTTCGAGTATTTTATGCAATTCCACAATTTGTAGCCAAAACCAATCTTCATCTTCTTCAATTTCGTTGAATGACGAAGAAACGACAGAATTGCTTCGAATTTTGGATTACCAAGATAAACACGTTCGAGGTTCACGAGATTACGAGCTGTGATTTCCATGCACGAATCGTCAAAGATTCGGTTGATACTTAATTCTGTGATGTTGACCAAAAGTGATGACACAATATTACATTCCTTGGCACTCCAAAACTGGACCGCCAATTTTTCCAGTCCATTTAATGACGTCATTTCATCAGATACTTGCTCGGCATACCAATGCAACCGTTGATAAACACCATGATAATGAAGAGTGTTCAAATTGTCATAAATTTCCGTCAATTGTTTCCTATCAAATCGGACCGCCAGTGCATCCAATTTTATGTTTGTCATTCTGAACAAGTCCCAATTCTCAAGAAAAAGTGTAGAATTAGTGGCGAAGCTGCGAACGTTCGGATTTTGTACAAAGAATTCCTTCAGCTGATCGATTTTAAGCGCATTTCGATGTGATAATTCAAGATGTTGGAGCGTTGGGTACTTTCGAGTCAACCATCCATTGTCAGCACCAATCAAAATGTGATCGCCATTGGGATTGTGGAGGTAATCACAGGGATCTGTGCGTACACAAAGTACCTTCAAATTTGTACATAATTTGAGAAAATTCCTGTAGAAATCGTCGTGGATTGCACAACCTTCAATTTTCACACGTTCGACAGTCTGCAACACCTTTTTGAGACAATTGACTTTCGCTGTGGATATTGTTATTGCTCCCAATAGAATTTCCGTGATCGGCTGATTGCAATGCCGTTCAATCGTCTGATAAGGTTCAAAGCGATGGCTATTTATGTATAATTTTTGTACATTTTCGAGATCAAAGACGTCAGGCTTGTTGTTTAACTGTATTAACGAATAGTTCATTTTGAAGAAATTTGCCGCAACTCGTTGTGCCCATTTGCATGTTTGACCAAATGAGCGTAGGTCTTTCAATGTGAGCCAATCGAAAATTGAATAGCAGCAATCATCGACCAGCTTGAAAATAGATGGTGTGAGCTCTTCGATGGTGCAATCAACAGCAGAAGCATTCTGTTGATCGTCCAACTTTTTCGCTTTGGATTTTGGCCCATTCTCATCAGCTAACTTCCGTGTATTCATTTTGACGATGACTTGTTTGAGCTTGGCTAGAACACATGCAAAATTTCGAGTTGAATGATTAAAATTTGCAATTTATTTTGTCAATTTTCTATCGACACTACTCTTACCTTCTATTGATTCAGTATCAGCAATATGTAACTTCCAATTATGCAATGTGAGTGCTATTTCGCAATAGAAATCAAGAGTTACACTTGTGATTGGCCTTGATTTTTGAGTTGTACAACAATTATTGAGATTCAATTCGATTGTCTAGAAGAAAAGGCGAGATTTGTGAAGAAAACCTATGCCAGTAAATGGAACTTAGTATTTTATTGTATTTTTGTATACAAATGACGTTTATGAACGTATGAACGAGTTGTTGTAAAATAATACTAGGATGGCATTTCGACTTTGGAGCTTTTGTCAATAGACTGAAGTTGATCACAATTTTTCAAATATTTTTAAATATTTTGTTGTTTTCTCATTCATTTGTTTTGGAGTCAATAGCATACATATATTGTATTGTAGAGAATTATAATTTTTTCTATAAAAAATGATCATATATTCTCAAAGCAAACATATTCCGAAATTATTGTCCCATTGTCCCAATCATACGAATGTTAACGTTTCAACTCGATCAAATTGGATTCCGTTTTATTTATTGCCCACTTTGTTGCCTAGCAAACGTTTTCTGGAACATAAATGGTGACTCTTTGAGCTCCAATTAATTTTTCACGTTCCTTGTTCGATGTGGCAAGATAACGCAATCCAAGGTTGAATGTTGTTTGTACAAATTAACGATAAATTCATCAATCGATTATTTGTTGAAATAGCTTACAATTCTAATGAAAGTATTGAATTTATCTTACAGTAAATATCGTCAGCAAAATGAATGAAGCAATGAGAATGATGTTGCATAGTAAAATGTGATGACTCTTGATATATTGTGAGTTCTACTTTACGAACAGAAATTGACAGCAGTTTGGAATGTTGATTTTTCGAATTTCAAAATGCGTTCTTTCTTACTACGATTGGACGTTATTCAGCAATCAAGTATATTTATTGAAATGTTTTTGATGTTGCACAATAAAAATTGGACTGTCGTTTGTTCGACACACACTGGAAAATTGAACTTTGGACAATTATTGAAATGCAGTCCGATTTTTAGACGGTAAATACGTTTGCCAAGAAAATAATCAAATATTTTTCAGAAAGTACTCATTTGTTTATGAAACAATAAATATTTAATTTAGTTTCTTACTTTGGTTTCAATGTTGAATAGACAGTCGCGGTGCGAGTATCAAATTTGTTGTGAAATAAACTGACATTAAACAATGACACTTTGTTGTTTGATGCGCGCCAAATCCATCTTAGCTGGTAATGAACTGAAGTTGGCTGTAAAGTCGAACAAAAAACATTTGAATATTTAAATAAAACATGTGTATCATTTCATCAACGAATATTCTTGTTGGGTGAGGGGATAACGTATGACAAGAATGGGAAAACGTATGACAAGAAATGGGAAAACGTATGACAGAAAATGGGAAAACGTATGACAAAAATGGGTGGAAACGTATGACAAAAAATGGGAAATCGTATGACAGCAAATCGGAAAACGTATGACAGAAATAGGAAAATATATGACAGAAAATGGGAAATCGTATGACAATTGATAAAAGAATTAAAAAACGGTATTTTTAGTGGTCCCAACAGAAAATTTTCTCTTTATCTCTTTCTCTAAATATCAAAGATTGAGTATTTTTCATAGACTTTGTATTGAAAAAAGTAGAGAATGTTTTCAATTGCTGGTGAGCAACAATTTTTACGAAGACATCAAATCGACTTTTTTTGTCATTAAAATGAAAATCTCAACAAATTACGAGTGAAACATACTCTAATTTATCAAAATTTAAGTCGGCCAAAATACATATGCGGCTCTCAATCTCATAGATATTAAGAATTGATATCAAACGTATTTTTTACGTATAAAACATGCTTTTTATCGCTCTTATCCCTACTGACTCTTTTCTTTTTTATTGTCGGTTGCTTGTTCGGAGCGAGAGCGGATAGAATTAAAGGCTGTTATCTATTATTCATCGATTAAAAAAAGCGAATGTAGTTAAAAAGAATTTGTATCAACTGCCTTCAACATTAGATTTGAAATAAATATTATTCGTAATTAATTTAATAATTAAATAAATAAGTTTTGAGATGAAAGAAAGGTTTGATTCCGCGCGCGTAGCGCACGGAAACCCAGGCAGGGTATATCCCAGACAAAATAATACTGGTGGAGCAGAAATCGCGCGGCGTATTATTTTGTCTGGGATATACCCTGCCTGGGTTTCCGCAACTGAAGAAGGATTCTCCATCTCTTTCTAACACGCCATTTGGGGAGTCAGAATGAAAAAAGGCAATAAAATGGTACACATCATAGGACCTTCAATCCTATGATGTGTACCATTTTATTGTCTTCTTTCATTCTGACTATCTTCCTTGTCCCTCTTGTGTTCATTTTAAGTTTTAGACACCAATTGATGGGGTGTGCGTTCAACTGTAGTCGCTGAATTACATACACACGAAAATGATATGGCTCCTTTGAGTTTTTATATATATGATACTTGATACGAAAACAAATAAACAATCTAATGAATGAATTCGCACACAGTAAGATGACCTATCACAATCCTACTTGCAAATGTTCGACGTATTTCGCGACGTTACAGCAACTTTCCACAGGTCCCATTTATCATGTACATTAATGGCACCGAGACACTAACTGGTGCTAGCAAGTGTACTACAAGCACTGTATATAAATATGTACTTTTTCACTTCAACATTGCAAAAGAGAGTAACGTTCACAAAGAATTTCTCATTTCAAGGAGTTTCGAACATTTTAATTTGTCTTTTATGTCAATCAGATCTTTTTTTTTTGTTAGAAATACATTTTTCAACGTTGTCATACTTATTCCTATTTTCTGTCATACGATTTCCTATTTCTGTCATACGTTTTCCAATTTGTTGACATACGATTTCCCATTTTTTGTCATACGTTTCCACCCATTTTTGTCATACGTTTTCCCATTTTTGTCATACGTTTTCCCATTTTCTGTCATACGTTTTCCAATTTCTTGTCATACGTTTACCCATTTCTGTCATATGATATCAATTTATCCATTCTTGTTTTATTTATAGCTTAGAAAAATGGTGTCTTCGTAACAAAAGCCTAGAATTGTCTTCTTAAAAGCTGATATGGGTTAGAGACATTTTGAAAATGGTATTTAGTAAATGCTTAATAAATGAAATATTCATCCCAATCGTATGAATCATTGCGTTGCAGCTCGATCAAATTGAAATCAGTTTTGTTCGTTGCCCATTTTGTTGCCAAGTAAACGTCTTCTTCAACATAAATCGTTACTTTTCGGGCGCCAATCAATTTTCCACGCTCCTTGCTCCATGTGGCAAGATCAAGGCCATATTCAGTGCTTTCTGGTATTTGAAAACTACGCTCGACTTTGATTTTCTTCAATTTTGCTGAATGACGAATGAACGATAAAACTGCTTCGACGGTTGGTTCACGGAGATAAGCACGTTCGAGGCTCACCAGATTACGGGGAGTGGTTTCCATGTCTGATCCGTTAAGAGATTTGATGCTCAATTCTTTGATCTTCACCAAAAATGATGAAACGGTAGCACTCCAATAAGAAACTGTCAATTTTTCCAGCGCATGCAATGAGGCAACAAATTTATAACAATACTTGGTATACCAGTGGAGTTGCTTAAAGACACCACGTTCATGAAGAGTGTTCAAGCTGTCACAAATGCCCGTGCTAGTATCCTCATCAAACCGAATCGCCAGCGTATCCAATGTGATGTCTGCCGTTCTGAACATGTCCTAATTCTTCAGAAGAGTTGTAGAGGTAGTGGCGAAGCTTTGAACGTTCGGATTTTGTACAAAGGATGTTTTCAGCCCATCATCTTCTGGTGAATTTCGACCAATCAGTTCCAAATATTCGAGTGTCGGGTACTTTCGAGTCAACCATCCACTGTCAGTCCCAATGAAAATATCGGACCGACCATATTCATTGCGAATACAAAGCTTGAAGGTGCTTTGTACAAAATTTGAGGAACTTGTAGAAATCGCCATTGACTGTACAATTAATCATCTTCAAACGTTCCACAGTGGGCAAACACTTCTGGAGACGACTGATTTTCTTTCTCGATAGTGTGGTAAATTCCAAATGAATTTGTTTGATCAGTTCAGGATTGCAGTATGATTTGATGTGGCGGTATGGTTTCAAGTGTTTACCTTTACAGCGTATTTTTTCTGCATTTTCGAGATCAAGGACATCAGGACCGAAAATATCAATCAATGAATGAACCTCACAATCCATTGCCGAATGTTTTATTTTGTGGAAGTCAGCGGCTACGCGTTGTGCCCATTTGCACGTTTGGCCGAATGCGTTGAGGTATTCACGTGGCAGCCAATCGAAAATGGCGAAGCAACAATCGTCGACGAGGTTGAAAATGGGTGGTGGTGGTGGTGGTAGCGTCGGTGGCGACAACATCATTTGGTTGATCGTCCACTTTTCCTGCTTTGGATGGTGGCCCATTTTGGTGTGGTGACTGTCGTGTATCCATTTTGACATTTTCTCGCATTGGTTGAACTTTTACGTTTAAGATGTAACTCAAAGTCAAAACTTGTCTGTAGAAATAACAAAAATATTTTCAATCGATGCTTAAAACTATAATGTTAACATTGAATTTATCTTACAATGAATATGTCGTCAATAGGACGAGAATGCGGATGAAGCAATGAGAATACTGTTTATTGTGCAGTAAAATGTGATGACTTCATACTTTACTTTACAAACTGAAGTTGACAGCAGTTCGAAACGTTGCAATTTTTCGGACAACGAATGGCAGTTCTTTCGAAAATCGTACCAGATATTAAAAATTTCGTTTTTTCCCCATCAGATATGCGCAAGCTGAAATTCTGAATCGTCTAAAAAATCGCAAAAAAATGTCATAAGAAACAAAAACATAAAAAAACATCTATAAATTGTGTAATAAATTAAATAGTATTCATTTGTTCCGATTGGTCGAAATACATTTGAATTTATTGTGTTGAAAAGATGATAAAAATTTGATACAATAATTTAAAAGACTTATGTACTACTATGCGAATGGTTTGAAGCATGGCTTCATGGCCGATGGCAATCCACATCACGATCGATTGATGAAATTTAGTAGTTCCGTCTTCGAAATGAATATGCGATCATCACTCGTCGGCGAACGTTTGATATGAAGACCACATTTAGACAGTTCATAATTGAAAATGGTTCGATTGGCACGAGCATCTTTTGCAATAGCCAGCATATCGGAATAGTATGGTGTTGTGTGTGAAATCACCTTCATTTGTTTGTTCCACTGGTCTGGTTGCAGTTCGAATACATTTCCGGAGAAGATGGCGTACTTCTGAGCAGCGATCCTAATCTCTTCCTTCAATTCATGGCTTTTTAAACAGACAATTGTATCATCGTCTCGACCTTCGCGACCTTCTCGACAATCGCGCGTATCACGACCTTCGCGTGCACGCCGATGAATCTGTTGGATATCATCAACGGATACTTTCACTTTGACCTTGTCGCACAGTTTCAAAAACATAGCGCGCAAATCCATATTCGTGAGTCGTGGCATTTTGATTACAATAAGATTGTTGGCAAGTTCGTTTTGTTTATTAAGTTCAGCCAACGAGGCAGTGGCATCCTCGGCTTCAACTGGTGTTAATTGACCATCCTCTTTCACCTCATCATCGATTGTTTTGTCTTTGATCAACAAAGCAAATTTAACTTTGACCAGTTCAAGTAATCCATCGACAAACACTTGAAACACCTTACTGTCATCGAACTTCGTTCCGAACAAATTGTAATTTTGGAGCACCAAACCATTGGGGAGCACCATTTTCGTATCGTTGAAATGGGTTTTAATCCAATTTGAGAAACACGAGCAATGATAATCCAGTGTGTCTCTGTCGTGTACATATTTGTCGTGCACGACTAGATTCACAAGGTCTTTTGTTTGAAATGTGCATTTCCAACACCTAAATACATATGGATGTGTCTTGATGTGACCAAAATAATCATCTCGACCGACATTGGTGTGACAATAGCCGCAAATCAAAAATGGACTTCTGTAGTCAGTGTATGGCTTGGAAATTTTTACCATATTTTTATGCCCAATGGAATGATGCGTGTCAATCTCGTCTTCAGTTTCGAAAATGGCAGCACAGTGGCCGCATTGACGTTTCTTGTGAATTTCGATTTTCAATAGTTCATCAAGTTTCTGGTCAGTCAATCGCATTGGGTTGAGCACCTCCTTTTTTAAGATCGCTTTGTGCTCTTTTTCAAAGTGCTCAACCATCTCTTCGGTTGTCGCTTGACAAATGCCGCACTTCTTTCGATCGTCATAACTTACGATTGCAAGCGGATCATTCGTGTGTACTTGTTGTTGATGTTTCAATAATTCGCGGTACGTACCGATGGCATCACCGAATCGACACACTGCAATTTCAGCCACGTAGAATTGGAATGGTTTCGACGGAATGTGAATGAGGTGCGATGTTCGCCAATGCTGATACACATCATCGATGCTGCCACCAATCAGTTCATTCGTTTCATTAGTATCCAAACAGTGGGTACAGTAAAAAAAGAACATCGGTTGCTCTATCTTCGACTCAGTCATTGTGACTTCTGTTGGATGAACGAATAAGATCAACGACAGATTAGATTAATGTATCAATAACGAAGCGAGCAATGAGATTAACCTGTTTTACAAATGTTCAATCTAACGCCCGAATCTACCACATCGTTTGTCTTGCGTCGTTTGAACATTTCTGGTGAATTTTCCCGTTCATGCGTTCGTAACATCGGTGGGGTATTGTTCGGTGTAAAACTATTTTCAATTGTATTATCTTTCGACGATTGACGTTTCTTTGCACTTTTCTTCTCGATCACTTGGCTCACTTTCTCTGGGATTTCTTCTTTTCGTGACCGTTTTTGCTTGCATTCGTTCCAATATCGTTCGCATGTGTCGATTACACTGCCAATGACAGATCAGTATTTGTAAATTTAAGGTTACTTGCTACATTGAGAATCACAGAACTCTTACCAATCAGTGGTTTGCTTGATGAAATCTGAAAATAGAGAAATGCATCAATAACAAACTTAGTGGAAGTGTGCTACTACATAATAAGTGTCATGCAAGATAATAACAATTGAAACCTCTCCGAAAACGACGATCTATCTTTACGCCCGTCTCATCAAATCTTTGGAGTGCTGCTCGCAAATCCCATTTGGTGTTCGATAGATGTTCATACACCCGAGCTTGAAGTAGTTTGTCATCCATTTTTGCCTGATTGTCTGTAAAGACATTGGAGAAAAGAGCCACAAGGAAAAGTTATGAAACAAAATATGTTAATGTTTGAACGTACTGTAACAGTCCAAATTGAAATATGGACAAGAAAAAAACAATTTTTCACATGAAAATTAAGTCGTGAAACTGAAACAAAATCCGTAAATTCGTAACAACTATAATCTATGAAACTGAAATAAAATTCAGATTGGAATGGCGTAGTAACACATTTTATCGACGTAAACACTCACATGACGTTTCACATTGGTTCTTTTTTTTTGGCTTATTCCAACAATGTGTTTTCACTCCGAGTTGAATTGCGTCTTCTGGCTATCTCAACACTTAATCAGTATGTGGCGAACAAACAAATTCTAGTTAAAATTATTATACTTTGAAGTCGTTTCCAATGAAATTTTCATACGAATTTATCGGTGTTTGACAACTAGAAATGAATTGATTAGAAAATTTGCTAGAGTGATGCGCTGTCAACGACTAAATACACATACACAAGTGGCGGCAAGTGCACACAACTACAAAGAAAATCGCGTGAAACGCAAGCTAACCTATCAAGTAGCGGTCAAATGTGACAAGTGATGGGATGAAAAGGGAGAGATGAAAAAAGCGATGAGATGATTGCGCTTGTGTACGTGGCAATTCAGCAACAGTAACAGAGTTTATGTTATTCGGCCGTAAACTGTCAAATCACGCGCTTAATAATCAAACTATTTTCAATGCTATTAATGACATGATGAACTTGCCGCAAATATTTAATTAATTTTATTCAAATAATTTCTTTTCTCCACTTTCTGTGGATTGAATGCTGATTTATTCAAAAATATTGATTGTAATGGTTTTACATGACATTTTTTTTTACTTAGAGCTAGTAGAAAATGTTGCGATGAATTCTGTAAACCAAATTTAAATTCGTTTTTCTAGAATAATCAAATTATAACTAATGCTGAATACGGATTATTACAGTATGATAATTCCAAAAAGTAAAAATGATTTCTGAAAATTTGAAATATCTTTTTCTGTTCGTCAGCGAACAAACAGTCAACGCAACGACAAATCAAACGGTTCAATGGTAGCAAACTTTGACTACCCCAATGACTTTGACGATGGTCAAAATGGAGCTGATGGTGGTAATGCAAGTCAATCAGGCGGTAGCATGCAAACTGCCAATGCCATGAAACCGAAGCCAACGAACGGAGACTCCACGTCAGCTAACACCCGAACGCGCTCGAAATATGGATCCACAAGAATTTTCACGAAATTTCCGAACGTTCAATCGGGGCACTGCTGGCTAACCAATTCCATTTTAATTGTTATGGTAATCGCATGTTACTTGACTGATATCTTATAAATTGCATACGAAATTCTCATTTGTTGTCACTGATTATGTTTGCATACAAATCATTTGTCGATAAATTGTAGGGTAATGTTGTAATGAGTGGGCCATCTTAATGAGTGGGCCACCCAGCCGATTTCCATATATCGCAAGTTTTTTTGAGTGCAAAAACCCATTGTTAAAAAAAATTGTAAAAAAAAAAATCATTTTTATAACAAATTGAATTTTGCCGAAGGCCGAAACAAGTTTGAAAATCGTATTTTTCAAGTAGAGTTTTGTTTTTTTTGGTTAGCTCAGGCCATGATATCGATAATTTAAAATTATTTCGGAGTAATTTTGATGTTCAATTTTTTTTAGTTAGATCCATTATCCACATCAAAATGAGATCGAAAACCCGTGTATAGTGTAGTGTTGACTTGATTGCACCGCAACAACGTCATAAAATCAGTGGCGTAACTAGAGGGGGGGTTTGGGGTTCAGCCCCCCCCAAATGAGATCGTCCAAAAGAAAATTTTATAAAAAACAAAGAAAAAATCGAATTTCACTATACTTGATCGCTTCGCTCGCCTTTCAAATAATATTTCCTTCGGTAGGAATATGACCAACGTTGTGTAAAATTTTATCGACTATTAATCAGTCGCTTAGTTTGGGACATTTTGGCTGACTAAAAATGATTATATCGAACGAAATAGACGACAGTAGTTGACTTCAGTTACAGTCGCCTGATACTTATTCTTCAGTCAATATCTCAAAAATTAAACGACTGTTCGAGAAATGACTGAAGACGACTATTTTCATACAAGATTCCGAAAACACATTTGACTATATGTGTACTAAATCAATTTTAATTGATTTAAGCATTCTGGAAATCGAAGTTAAAGAATACGTTTGTAAATTTTTGTCTAGTTTAGTACGATTTTCGTTTGTTTTAAGACGATTTTTGTTTTATCCCCAAAAATCATCAATTCGAATATTCCCAGAAAGACTCCCTTGCATTTTTTTTAATACTACTGTGTCCAAAAAGTAAGGTGACATTGCATTTAAAATTTAGCGCGCTGGGGAATTTGAAAAAATCCTTTTATTTTTAGGTTGGTAGGACTGTCTTTGACATCCCTGCCAAATTACACGTCAAAATATTCATTAGTGTTTGAGATACGCTTCGTTTTGTGGACTGCTAAAAGTGAATTTCTCGTTTTTTGCGATGTCGAAATTTGTTGATCAAAGAATTTGCATTAAATTTTGTTTGCGGAATCAATTTTCTGCTGCGGATTCGTTGAGGATGGTGCAGAAAGCCTTTGGTGATGAGGCTATGTCGAAAAAAAATGTTTACAAGTGGTATAGTGAGTTCCAAGCAGGCCGTGAATGTGTCGAAGACGAAGAGCGTGCTGGGCGACCATCAACCTCAACCGACGAAGCTCACGTCCAAAAAATTAAAGATTTGGTGTTGGAAAACCGTCGATTAACGATTAGAGACCTTGCTGATGATATTGGCATATCGAAAGGCTCAGTCAATACCATTTTGAAGGATGTTTTGGGCCTCAAACGCGTCAAATCTCGACTGGTACCGAAATCATTGAATTTTTTGGAAAAAAGGTGTCGAGTTGACGTGTGTGAAACAATGCTTTCTGACTACATTGACAAGACGAAATGCATGATCACTGGAGACGAGACTTGGATCTATGCTTACGACCCGGAAACAACCGACCAATCGAGCGAATATCGTGCCAAAGGTGAGCCGAGACCAAAAAAACCGCGCCAAAGTCGCTCAAAAATCAAGGTCATGTTGACTGTTTTCTTCGATTATCGGGGTGTTGTGCATTATGAGTTCCTTCCCCCGGGTCAAACAGTCAACAAGGAATATTATTTGAGTGTTATGCGTCGTTTGCGTAACGCTATCCGCCAAAAGAGGCCGGAATTGTGGAAAGACAACTCTTGGTTTTTGCACCATGATAATGCATCGTCTCACAATGCGATCATTCTTCGTGAACATTTCGCCAAAAACTCGACTCATATCGTTCCACAACCACCGTATTCACCTGATTTGGCACCGTGCGACTTCTGGCTGTTCAACAAGCTCAAAAGACCGCTCCGGGGACACCGTTTTGAGACGATAGAGCAGATTGAAGCCGCAGCGAAGACGGAGCTGAGGGCCATCCCTGAAGTCGACTTTTTCAACTGTTTCGAAGATTGGAAAATCCGTTGGCATAAGTGCATTGTATCGGGAGGGGATTACTTTGAAGGCGATGAAATTGATTTGGAAGAATAAATAAAGAATTTTCAAAATAAATGCAATGTCACCTTACTTTTTGGACACAGTAGTACTTCTGAAAAATTGAAAACCCCCCCCCGAAAAAAATTTCTAGTTACACCACTGCATAAAATACAATTAGTGTATACAATTTCCGGTCATCCGAATGACGAAAATATGACCAAAAAATAATTCACCTGTAAATAATATGCCTTCCAAAAGACGTGGATTTTGATGCTTCAGACGCCCAAACTATACACTAGAACTTTGAAAATGCGATAAATATCTACTAAACAAGTATTCTATGACATTTATTTCATTTTTTGACATTTTTTTAGGTGGTCTCATTACTACAAAATTTTAGGGTGCCAATAATCAACACTTTAGAAAAATGACCAAAACATTTTTTTTGGGGAGATAACAAAATACGGTTGCATAGGGGTATTGCAACTACCATAAAATATATGTATTTCATCAAGTTTATCAAGCTCTTTCCAAGTTTATGCATAGTGTTGAACTTTTGTTCAAGCTCTACCATCGAAATGTACAGTAAAATAATTTACGGGCACGACGTAAGATGGCGTTTTTTCTGGTCAAAAAAGTTGCAATATCCCTTTGTACGGTTGCAAAGAACTTTTAGCCAATGTCAATAACTATAGTTATTGAATATATTCAACCGTATATATAACTCCACATAAGTCCTCATAGAAAAAAAATTATAGCCGAAATTAGGCTTAGGTGGTCCACTGATTACAACATTCCCCTATGAAATTCTTTGTGATATGCAATAGCCCGAGATAATCTATTTTTTTTTGTCTTTTCATATGTCACTACTATTATTTATTCCAAATTTCATATTTGAAGGAACGATTATGTCGTATTTTCTTTGGAAATATTTATGCAAAAATATAAAAAAATGTATGAAAATACTTATGGAAATCTTGAAAAAAATTAATCTTGTTATTTCAATGCTTCTAAGCATAAAACATAATTCTTTTGGTTTTGTCGTTTTATCTATTCGAATGTAACCGCAGTGATCATGTTTGGAGGAAATGTGTACGTTGATATGGTGTCAATAAGATCGGACACTGTAATTCCCTTTACAGATGATTGTCTGATTATATCCTCCTTGACCTTTGCACATCTGCATTCGATTGCTATTGCTCTCTTGGATGCCGTACGTTTAACACTCATTACATGAGTTTGGTCGATTTTGACACCTAACGCCCGGTACAGGTTGCCAAATATCAATTTAACGTCTTCTCCAATCGTCCACGGAAAGACAACTTTCAGAATATATTTGTTCTGAATTTCCTGTTGAAATTCCATTTTCAGCACATTGATCCACTCTTTGACGCATCCAATGAAATCGTGAATGAGATCATGTTGGCTGCCAACCAAATTTCGGTTAAATAACACGAGTCCGTTTGCGAAAACGACTTGCGTTTCGTAAAATTCTTTTCTGAGTGACTCTACGAAGTTCGTCAAGTGAATATCAGGCTCGTTATCTCCGTGAGCTTCTCGAATATGCTTCAAAATTTCGATCATGTCCGTTGCTTCGAAGCTGTGGCAAATGGAACACACATTGCCATGATGTTGCATGTGGTCCAGTAGATCAATCAGCTCGATACGTTGCTGGCAACAAAAGAAATGATCAATTTCATTGGTGTTGTTTGTGATGCCGAGCTGATGCAGACTGTCCATCGACATTTTCACGGGATTGAAAATTGATTCATTCTGGCGGTTACCATCTCTTGACGTCTTATTCGGATCTAAATTCGGGTTTAAATATAGAAAACCAACGCTACAAAAAAGTTTCATTTAGAGTAATTAAAAAGCGAAATCATCAAATTTTACCAACCAGATTGTAAACGCTTGGGTTTTGATTGAATACGGTGCTCCGCTTTAAAATGGATATTCATCCATTTGCCACCGTAATCACACAGTGCACACTTTTCTGCTCCTTTTCTCAAAATAACAAACACTTCATCCCGATGCCTTTGTGAATAATGGTTGGTCAATTCTTCGAACGTTCCAACCTCACCACATCGATAACAAATGACTGTTTCGACAGCATAAAATTGGAATGGCTGCGTTCTTGAGCTGTTGTGTGCGGACAACCAATGACTGTACAGATCATTCTCACTGTGAAATAATGTGGGCTCGTTTGCATCTTTGCAATAAAAACAATGGTAGACGAGACTGCCGGCTTGAAGCTTCACGGCTGAATTGGAATTAGATGAAAATTCATATTAAAAAAATGATGAAATGTATAAAATTTAAATGAACTGAAACCAACCACAATTTGTTGTTCTCGTCTGTGCCAATACTGTCTTTTGAACGGATGGTTTTGCACGGATCTTATCTGACTTTGTCGGTTCGGCTGAAATTTCATGAGATTTATTCAAAAATAATAGATTTAGTTCATAAAATCTCTTCACAAGAAAAAAAACTCACAATGTTTCAATGAGTGGAACTGTTTTTCACCAGCCTTCTGTTTAATGCCATTTTGTGAAGTCTTTTTTGGGTCTAAATTTCAAATAACGAAAACCAATGTTACAAAAATGTTTCATCTGGGGTAATTGAAGAAAAGAGATATGCAAATTTTACCAACCAGATTGTTTTGACGGACTTTTGTTTCGGTGAAAATGTTCAGTATTTGCGCCATTTCGTGAATCCTTGGATTTTTCTGAATGGGACAAAGAAACTTTAATTATGCGGAAAGTTCATGCAAATCGATGTAAAACTCGCACATTAAAACATGCAAAATTGGCACATTAAAACATTAGAAATATGATCAATTTTAAGTAACAAACCAGTTCGATTGGCCTCGGTGTGTCTTGTGTTGCTCGTACATCTGACATCTTTCGACCGTTCTTTAACAATGGCGTCTCGTGAAGTCTTCTTTTGATCTGAAATACGAGAACGCAGAACATAATCCAACATTAAAAAGATTTATGTTTTGGTCAATTGAAAAAATGGGAACTGTGGCTTGCGCAATTTTACCAACCATATTGTAAACTCTTGGGATTTGATGGATTATTATTTAGCTGAAGAGGTCCAGTTTTTGCATCTTTGCGTGAGTCTTTGGATTTTTCTGAATGGGAGAAAAATTGGAAATCTGAAGTATACGGGCAGTTTATACAAATCGATGTAAAACTCACCACGCCCTGAACCTTTTGGCCGCTCATCACCCGACGCCCTGTTGAGTGACTTTTCACTACTTCCAGTGCCTAGATTAAACAAAAAAGATAGATCACAAAATTGGCACGTTAAAAGATTTGAAATATATTCAATTTTAATTGACGAACCAGTTCGATTGGCCTTGGTATGTCTTGTTTCGGTCGAACATCGGACATCTTTAGACCGTTCTTTGTCGATGACGTCTCGTGAAGTCTTCTTTTGATCTGAAATACGATACCGAATAACAAAGTCCAACACTGAAAAAATCTGCATTTGGTCATTTCATGCAAATCACTATGAAACTCACCATGTCCTAAACCTTTTGGCCGCTTATTACCCGAAGTTCTGTGCAGAGATTGTTTACTAGTTCCAGCTCCTAGATTAAGTAGAAAGATAAACTAATTAGAGAAAATAGGAAGCTAAAAATGTAACGGTACAAACCAGTTTCGTTTATTTTGTTATGTTTTTGCTCAATACTCCGCTTAGATACGTTCTCTTTGTTTTTTCTGTCATTCTTTGTTGATCCCTTTGAGTGCATACTCGACTTCAGTCCACTTTGCCAAATTTCAAAGAAATTCTTCATTATCGAAAATAATTTCGAATTGTGACTTTCTCGAGAGGATTGACTTGATGCGTGTGTCTTTTTTCGTTTCTCTTTCATGTTTTCCTCCTCAACGGAACTTGTACTGGCCTTGCGTTTATTTGCAATTCTTTTCGTCAATTTGTTAGTATGTTGTTCATCTTTAGACGTTCCATTTGTCCCATAAGCACCATATTTCAGCGCTGAAGAAAATATGTCGTAGGCTTCGCTTATGCTACGAAAAAAAAACAAATGAAAAAGATCAAAATCGGATACTCTTGGCATTATTAGAGTGATACAGTTTCTTGACTCTGTGTCAATCAGTAATACAAAATGGTATTGAATGACAATATTTGTGTTTTCCATTGCATTATGGAATTCACTCAGATAAAAAAAATGTTTAGAATTGATTAAATAGCGATATAACTGTTATACAGCAAAGTGCGACAGAAATCTTGATGGTGACATATAGTGTATTCGATCGCACTAATGATAGCTAGTACGTGAAAAAGGCAAGACAGCAGATAGTGCGAGCGGGACAAAATTTGACACCGCCAATATCTTGCAAAAATCTCAGTCGTTTTTCACGACATGTCAAAGTAAAATATAACCTTTCTTCCGATTGTCGGCAGAAATATCTCATGAAATCGTTGTCCAATTGGGTGTTGGCGGAATTCAGAAAAATTCGTGTCGCATGCTCGATTCGGTCGAGATGGGCGATCATTTGACTGGCTCCATCACTATGTTTGTTGGGCCGGCATCTTTCTTTTCGCGTGAATTTTTCCGAATCATATCGTTCAGTTGTTCGCCTCAAGCTGAAGAAAAAATTCAATCAAAACTAATAATGTTTCATATCGATATAAATTGTATCTGTGGTATGAATATTTGACACACATACCGATCCGATGTCATTCTGATGAAATATTCCTTGAAATGTCCATTATCCAGCCTCTCTGGAGGCGATAACTCCAAAAATTGGCGACAAACATCCGTCAATTTATTGCGCCATTTGCGCATTTCTTGGTGAAGTATCAAACTCATGTCGTTTACTTGAAAATACAAACGTTCTTTACTTTGAAAGAACAGTATATAATTTTTTTTTGAAACTAAACGGACACACAAAACGAACACAAAAATATAATCAATGTTTCACAACACAAAACGAATCATGTGTTGAACCATTTCTCTACACTAACTGAAACTGTACTAATTCCACTCGTGTTTAGGTGACAATCGATTGGCGGCAATACGTTCTCGTTAAAACACGACGATGCGCTGAATAACAGAGATTTTTTCAGCAATACAACCAGTGCAAATGACACATCACACACAATTGCCAATTGATATGTCAGGAGATCACCACAGCCGCACAATGTATTCGAGGCCGACACCAACAAATCGCACACAGACCCAAATTATGTGAGCACTAACACAGGCAAATATTGAGACGAGAATCGGTGTGTTTTATGCATGGTTTATATGCGATGTATTTGGTAATAGCCGTAGCCGTAGCCGAACTCTTTGGAAAGAATAGAGGATAAAGGGACAGTTCGAAAATGTTTATAATGCTCAAATAAACAGAGAATGATGAGAAAAATTTGAGCAGCGTGCACTACTGGCTTTGATTTTTAACCAAATAATTACAATAGTCAGAGTCAGAATCAGCATTTAAAATATTCACATTGGATTCTCTTCCATAACCAAACAAAATACCGTTCTTTACGACTTTTAATTTCACAACAATGTGCATTGTGCAATCGCATTGAGTGAACAAAAAACGGCTGAGATGATGATGACCTAAGCGGTCGGTATTTTCGAAATGGTTTGATTGTAGTGAATTTGAGCAATTTTAATGTTATCATAGTGTTGCATGAAATGCAAACTATGTGGATTATGTTATTTATGATCGAAATATTTGATTCAAAGCCTGTTATTTTTGGTATCTTATTGTGAAATTCTTTCTTGTTTCGTAGTACGCATTGAAGCTTCTACCACTCTAAAGTTCAAAAAATATTTCACATTGAAGAAAACACAGAAGCTGCTTTGCGTGCTATGACATGAAAAAGAATTTCGCAATAAGAAGAAGAAAAAGACGTCGACAATACCAGGCCTTGAACTGATTAGTGTTCTTCATAAAAACACATTTTGAACGAAACGGAAAAAAAAGAATTGATGAAATCGGTTCTCGGAACACATAATAATTCTTTACAATCGATTTTCATGTCTGCCTCTCTTCAATCGTATGACAGGTAGAAACGATTGTTATTTATGAATTTGCATGACGTGGACGTGTTCTGTATTCGCTCACTGCAGAAATATTTATCACTGCAGCCAGCAATTATTCTCATTACATATAATCCGATTATGACATTTTTGTCCGGCGGTTCAACAACTTTGTACATGTACAATTACATGACTTTTTCCTGAATATGCAATGCACTAGTTGTGCATGTACTAGTGTACTTACCGTTGATTTTCAACACTTGATGAAATTCAGATTTTGAAACAACAGTTTCTACTTCGGAGAGAGCCACTTATCACTTCTCAAACATTTAAATCCATTTCAAAGCAAATGAAATCTGTTCAAACCTGAAAAGAAATTATCGCTCAAGTAAAAGACCAACTCAATTTTTTTTTATTCTTGTATTTTTTGTTTAAAGCAGTCAAGTTCTATACTTTATGTTTATAATTATTTGTACAAACTTCAACAATTTTTAGTAAATATTAAAGATATATTAATTAAAAATTACGATATTCATAATAAAAATATACAAGCAGCGTTTTTTTTTTGTTGTTATTTAAATTTCAAATATTCATCATTCCTTTTTTTTTAAATATCTCATTTGAATTCATTATTTGTTGTTGTTGTATTTGCTTCTTAAATTTGTTGTCTTTTTGTTTGCCATAAATTGTTTTAGTTTGTTGTCGCTTTATGTGGTTAGTGTGTATTGGAGAATGTGAGTTTTTTTTTCTTCATTTTCATTGTTGTATGTTTGTGTGTAATTTTGGTCAAAGAAACGTAAGATCAAATGCTCGAGATTGTATGGGAGGGAAGTGTAATTTTCTGTTTTATTCGGTTATTGAGACGGATTTATGAAGCAATTGAGTGTTGCATTTTTGATCAATGATCGGTCATTAAAATGGACTTTAACTTGCTAAAATAGAACCCACCAGCAGATTAGTGTAGTTCGATCTTGCTGAACTTGCCCATGTGTGTGATAGAATGGTTCAAAAAGAAACGTAGAATTCCGAAAATTACGTTTTGCTCCTGAAATGATGATCGAACACATTCGAATCTTTTGTTTTATTGAATGGGCAAATGGCTACTATTGAGAAAAAGAAATAGAGTTACTTCTATCGATTGACTAATTATTGTGACAAACTCTAAACATGTGATCGACGGTGCATGGAATGTGAGGTAATGATGTAAATAATCGCATCTCTTTCAATACTGGGAAGTTTTATCCAAAGACTTGCGATTATTGGCATGGAAAAAAATGTGAAAGAAAAGATTGAGTTTCTTCGGCTTCTCTTCGTTATTTTGAAGGTTTTGGTTTTTCTCTTTTGTTTCAGCACAAAATCAATTTGCAAATGTATGGTCGGCTCGCCCGCTTCAGCAGCAGCAGCGGAATAGATGAAACTCCCAGCGAATAGGAAAAACAATCACGCGCAACGAAAGAAATCAAAATGGAAAAGTAGACCCTTTATTTGTTCTTATTTTTGTCTTCAACGTATTTTATCAAATACGACGTGCTTCATGCAAGCACATTTCAAATGAATTACATTCATTCGACTAATGGAAATTGATTTGAATGAAACGTAAATTCGGCTATAATGTTTGCTTTCTTGTAGTTGTTCATCTTGTGTCGATACCGTAATATGGTTCTTGTGTTTGTCTTTTGTATTTTCCGTTTCTGTGTCCTTTCAAAGGTGCGGGAGTTCAGTGTTTCACTTAGCTTTGTTCGGTTTTAAACCTAATTGCGATCAAATTGTTTTACTTGAATTTATGTTTTGTATCCCTTAAATGCAATTATTGTTGAGACAGAGAAGGAGAATTAAATTTTTTTTTATATCGCTCAAGTTTATATTGTTTCGATTTTCCTTGTTTCATTTTATTTATTTTTTTTCCCAAAAGAGATAACACACATAAATTGCGTTGAAAAAAAAGGTCATTTTTATTAAGTTTAACCACAAATGGCTACCTAATTTCGTGATTAGTATAACAAACATTTCAATAAAAATAATAATAATCGTCAGCTGTTTCACATAAGCTAAAAGTGTTCTGTTTAGATGCAATTTTGTCTTCTTTTTTTTTCTTGTAATTAAAAGTTATATTTCTATACCATTCGAAGAGTGGTTTTTGATCGATCAATTGGGGGATAAAACTGATCGAATTTTAAGCGCTCTTCGTTATTTTCATATCGTTCATTCGATTATTGCTAAAACGAAAGAAAATGAAATGATGTAAAAAAAGGTTTTTTGGGCGGGGTATTAAACAGAGAATTTTGCATTCAATTTTCGTGCGCGGAATTCGATAACTTCGAATCGAAGGGCTGCTGCCCCAAAACCATCATTTAATAAATCAATGTGGTCGCACTCGGAAAATGATACAGAAAATACATCTCGTTTTGTTTGTTTTCTTCTTTTGTCTCTTGGTAAAAAGCGAAGCTGATGGACTAAGTTTAGATCTTCGTCTACTTGAAAATGGCAGGATTTTCGTTTTGGTTGATTCTTAAAAAATATTTTCCATTGTGTTGTTTTTTTTTTGTTTCGTCTGAAATTAGTCATGTAATGCATTTTATGGTCAGATGTGTGCGGTGTTGTGTACTTCGAAAGGGATTTAGACATATTTGAGAAAAGATTCACGCTGAAAAAACGCCATCAGAGCAAACAAAAATGTTCAATAAAAATAAATTAAAATAAAAAATCAAAGCAATTTTGATTTCTGAGCTCTGTTTATTGCCGATGGTATGAGCTTATTTATGATGACGGTATTTTTCTTTCATCGCTTTCACATTCAGCGAAGTCAACTCGATTCAAATGGATATTGTTAGCGTGGTTTGTGTTTGACTGCACACCAAAATGTTAAATGAAAAAATAATCTCAAAGTGGTTTTCTTCGTTCATAAGATAAAAATGGGCAATCGTCGGAGGGAATAAATCGATTGATTGTGTGTGTGTGTGTCTGTCGGTTTGTCGGAAATGGACATTGCTTTCAAAAATTCCTCTTCGACCGTTTTCATGAACTTTGAATGAAATATGCGAAGGAAAAAATATCGAAAATTATTTTTATTTACGTCTTAAATTGAAACAATAGTTTTTCTTCATTTAAATACCGAATTCATTTCAGTTAATAGCTCCCGTAACATAATGAGCTAAATAAATTCTAAACAACTTTTAACGGAAATATAAGCAAAGGACAAAAGAGAGAATCGAAGGAAAAATAGATAATTTTTTGTTTTTGTTGCTTATCAAATCGTTGTTTTATCATTCGATAACTTTCTCTACACTATGTTAGTTACACATACTATTCAAGCATTCATCCTTTTTACTAGATAGGTCCATATATACGTAAATAAGAATCGTGGTATCGCAAACCAGATTCGAGTGTGGTTCATTCGAATTTCGGAATCCAATCCACAGCGCGTGCGCAAAAAATGAAAAAAGGTAAAATAATCAAAGACTAACGAGGTTAGAAACTAAATGTAAGACACACACCCGATTTACCTAAAAAATATTTGATTTTTTATCTACAAATATCCTCTATAAACCCCTCTCAGGTAAATGAATACTATTTCGAAATAAAGACAAAAAAAATCACGCGTAAGAACAAGCGAAATTAATAGAAAAAATTACGCTTTTCTACTGTGCTCACATCGCAGAAAAACGCTTCATAAAAATTTCATTGTGAAAACTAAATTATTTCTTTTCAATTGTCACTTGTGTGTGTGTGTGTGTGTGTGTGTGTGTGTGTGTGAGTTTTTTTGTTTCATGCCAATTTAGACCTTCAATCGACAAGTGCGCCATTCACGCACCATTCCTAAATTTTCACACATTGGTTTTTCTTCCCTAAAATTTCTACAAATTTTCATTCACATCATTCACAAATTGTTTCTAATCTAAAATTCTTTGATTTAGTTTCTTAATTATTTGCATAAATGTTTTTAAATCTCGATTGTAATGCGTGAATGACGCTACTACTTCGATTTGATTGGGCCAATTTCTTAATTATTATTTATCTATTCGATTGTACAATTTTGTTAAAAATTAGTTTAAATTTGGGTAGATTTTTTTTTTGGTTTTGTTTTGGTTTGATTAATTTATTGCACAATTGTTGTTCTTTGGTTTCATAAATCTAACGCAAGCATTATCCATTCATTTGGTTTGTTTAGAAATGTGCAACCGAAACTAAATCGAATTAAATTAAATTCCTTCACTTTGTGTGGCTGTGTGATCAGCGCTTGAATTTAAATTACATTCACATTTTCAAAAATTTAGAGAGTGATTTATTGACTCGTTTGTCTGCTCATTGTGTTGGTGAAAATTGTTTTTTTTTGTGTGAATTTGTGTTGATTTAGCATTTTGCATAAAATTGGTGACAATCTCTTGTTTTTTTTTGTTAATTTACGTTGTTTTGCTTAGTTTTGTTGTTGTTGTTGTTGTTGTTTTTTAAATTTAATGATAAAATTGTTGTAGTAGTTGTTGTTGGTTGTAGGTTCGCCCCACCTCTTTAAAGCAATATATCAAAAAAGTTGTTGGCTGGCTGGTTTCTTGATTTCTTGCTTAGTTGTGATTTCGTCGAATGAACACGTACAGAAAGAGAAAAAAAATTATATATAAAAAAACGATGTTTCCTAGCACTTAGTCGAATACTTGTATGTTGTTATCCATTTTGTGTGTGTTTTTAGTTTTTTTTTTCGTTTTCATTAATAGCACATAGACGTTTTTTTTATTTCTTCATTCACGTCATTTAAGTTTTCCTCTAGAAATTGCAAAAATGGCATGGCGCAAAACGAAAAAGAAAATATTGCTGGTTGCAGTAGAGACACGTTTTGGGAAAAGTGAACAAAATTGTCGATTGTATTTGTTGTGATTGTTGGAGTGCGATTGTTTAAAAAGCCTTATATTACTGCTGATGCTGGTGGTGCCTGGTAGACGATATAAAGCACATTTATTTTATTCGATCTTTGTTGTTATGCATACTTAGTTATGGATATTATTTATTCGTATCGATTTTTTTGTTTTGTTGTTGTTTTTGTTGTCGCTTAGCATTTGCACGTTCTGCTTAAATTGGCTTAAATCGTTAAGTTCATTAAAATTATCTAAGTCTTTATTTGTGAGTGTTTTTTTTTCTTTTATGTTTTTGTTCAATTTATTTAATCATATGTTTAATTATTTATGCTAAGTATGCGCGATGTCGTTTTTCAATGATTTATAAACTTAGTGTTATTTGTTTTAATCAAATTGCCTATTTTGTTTTGTTTAAAAATATCCTAAAATCTTATTGAGTTTTATTTAGTTTGACAAAAAAAAAGAAATTTGTTCATTTAAATTGTGGCTCTGTGTGAGTTTGTGTATGTGTGTTTGTTTTTTTTCTGAGTGTTTGTGGGTGAGTATGTGTTTGTGGCTCTAGTTTATCGCTTTCTTTTGCGCAGAATAATCATTTAATATCTTTGGTTTTGAATTATAATGAATGAATGTGATTGAGTAGGTTTTTGTGAGATTGGATTAAAATCTATGCACGATCGATGTTATTTTTTTTAAACTTTTATTTTTGTTGAAGAAAAACGTTGGTTGTTTTTTAATAATTATGTGCCTGGTAGTGACCACGATTTATTTGCGCGTGTTTGGTTTAGTTATTGACGTTTAATTATGCTAGTACACTTCACATTTTATTTTTTTAGCAAAAAGCGCTTGGTGTTGAGCGATCCCAACGATTTTCCGGGATAATTGATTTGCAAAAAATAAAAAGAAAAATAAAACTCAAAATTGACCATCGAAACTCTTTTTAAAACTTGGTTGTTGTTTTGTATGTGTCCGTTTCACTTGTATCGTAGAAAGTGTCTTTGTCACTTATGTGGTGTTACTGATATCATTTATTTATGTGTGTGTTGTTATTACTAGTTTTATTGAGCCGTCGTGGGCAGTCAATTTTAGCTTTTTAGGTGAAATTTTATTTCTTATGCTCCTAATGTGGCAACGATAACTGGCCAAAAGGTAAGGAGATTTGTTGTTTTAGATTTGTTCATTGCAATGTCTCTTTATCGCTCCAGTGCTAGAGATGTCATGCAGTTGTGTGTGTGTGTCACATCTTCAATACGTTTTAATCGGAGTAATCATTATACGGCTCCAAATTTTACACTAGATTGTTTATGACGTAAGTTTCGTTTTTTTTGTTTGTTTTGTAATTTTAAATGGCAGTCGGCTTTTTTGAGTGCATTTTGGTTTCTTAAGTTGACTCACTTTGTTCAAACACTCTGATATATCCGCCATTTGTTCATCTAATCCCATGACCAAAATCCACATTCGGAATATTGGTGCATGTTACTCTCGTTTACGATTGCATCCTCTCTCATCTTTTTTATATATATTTTTTAATTGAGTTTGCTTTTGTTTCTCTTAATTCGGTATTTTTCCGGTTCATAAAGTGCAACGCAGCCGCCAGAATCGCATATTTGATTTGTGGTTGTGTGGCATTGCACTTGGTCTTGTATTTGAACTTTACAGTGAAATTGAGATTTTGATTTTGTGCTAGATTGGTCGCGTCTGGCCCGCATATAAACGTCATGTGTTCGTTCGTTGTTTTTTTTCTTGCACGGCCAAGACAAATTTATTGCGTTTTAAGAGAGACTTTGTTGATGCCCCTCAAGAAAAATGGCGAAGAGAAGAGAAAAAAAGCAAATTTGGTTTAGTTGTAAAGTACTTGATGTTCATTTCTGTCGTGCATCGTTAAGAGGTGAGGCGAACAATTCTCAGACGTCGGCCAATCGTGATGTTGTGCTGGGTGAACGGGAGTGTTGTATTACAACGCGATGGCCGTTTTTCGTAACAAAGCCATCGCTTTCCACGAGAACGGCAGTCTGCCGTCCTTGGCTACCATTATCGCCATCTTTGTCCTTTGACGGTGATTCATTGCCATCGTCACCACCACCACTGGTTTCAGTGTGTTCGGGCTCCGGTTTTGCTTCTGTATTGATGGAAAAGATCAAATGCTGCTCAATTATTCCACCGAATTGTGTGAAAAAGAGAGTCTTTTATAAATATCCCGATTACTTTGAAAAAGATTCAGGCATTCAGATCGCATCGCAAAATCGGAATTCCGTCAGTCAATTTCAAAGTAGACAGGAATTTGTGCTCACTGTTTTATGTGTTTTTCGGCAAGTAATTTTTCTTACCGCTAGCCGCCGCACCGCCGTTCGTATTGTTACCATCACTGTGATCATGGTTATTGTTTGTATTGGAGTGCGTATTGGCATCATTGCCACCAGCTCCATTGTTTCCACCTCCTCCTGCTGGTCCTCCTGGCCCTCTTGCTCCTCCCGCTCCTCCTCCGCTCGGTCCATCAGCATTATTTTGATCCCCATCAGTTTCGTCACCCGTTGCATAGGGTGTTTCTTTGTGTAGTTTGTGCTTGCGCCACGCATTTTGAATTAGCCGAGCACAGTATTCTTCGCGTTGACGCCAGAGAGTAGACGAAACAGGTTCGTAGCCTTCTTCTTCCGGCCGCGCCGCAATTTCGCCAAGTTCTCCGCTTTCTTCAATCGGATTACCTTTGCGTGCAAAGAAATCCTTGGTCAACGCGTCCAAAATATCCACGCAAAACATCAAATCCCCACGACAGATTGGAATATCCATCGAGATGATTTTGTATTTGTTCGGCTTATGAATTTGTAATGGTGGCTCAAGCACATCAAGAAAATCGGACAGCTGATCGTAGCGAATGTATTGTGTACCCTCCGGATCGAATTGTTGCCAAATTTCATAGTACATATCATAATCGTCGTCGGTTAAACCCTCCTGCACATCTTCGGTGGCTTGCGAATAGTTCTCCAAAATGACGGCAATGTACATGTTGATGACAATCAAGAAACTGATCACCAGATACGACAGCAAAAATGTGATACCGATTGTCGATGAACCGCAATTTCCCATATAGCCACGATCATTATCCGGCGGATTACAGTCTTCCTCGTTCATTATACCATCCAGCACACCATCCCATCCAGCTGAGGTAGACATCTGCAATTGGAAATCAATTCGATTGTTAGCTCGTCCACAAATATAAAAAATCGGTACGTATCGATCGATCACTCACTTGAAACAAAAGGATCATGCTCTGCGCGAACGTTTGAAAATTATATACATCGTCTATACCGCTTCTTTCTTTGACATGCATAAAAAATGACATGCCGAATATGGCGAAAATAAACATCACGAGAAATAGTAGCAGACATATATTAAATAAGGCTGGCAGCGACATTGCCAAGGCAAACAGCAGCGTACGGATACCTTTAGCACCTTTAACCAAACGTAAAACACGACCTACTTTAGCTACACGTACTACACGCAATAATGTTGGCGATACAAAATATTTTTCGATGAATTCGCTTAGTGCAAGACCTATGGATTGAATACAAAATGCACAATGATTAGCTCAATTCTCGTTCATCCTTAGGATGTTCTCACAACAAATGCACTCGATAATCGATACGGCAGTTGTAGCAATGGCTTCTGCATACTTTACACAGAATATTTTTTACAATTAAGTAGTTATCGGTAGTAAACCAGTACATTGCTGAATCTGTCAAATCGATATGGGTGTATTTGTTGCGAGAGCATTTAAAACTATTACTATTACTCACTTAAAATGGACAATGTAACTACAATTAAATCAAAGAAATTCCACGGCTCCACAAAATAATGGTATCGAAGTGCGAAGATTTTCAATAAGCATTCACTGGTGAATATACAAATAAATATCATATTTAAATAGTCTAAAACCATGCTAAATTCTGCTGTCTGTTGGTAATGATCCATTGTCATGGTCAGCATATTAAAACCGATGAACAACATAATGACCATATCGAATTTTTTGTCGGTAACTATTTCGAACACTATTGCTTGCGGTCGCCACTGTAGAGGGGAAAAAACAAATAAAATTAATCCTCCAGTATGAAGAGAGCGCGACTCAAATGCATATGCATTATGCATATTTGCGATTGCATACCCTAGGCCTTGGTATCGCTTTCATTGGTTTCTTTGAACCCATTTTCTTCATTGCATTGTAATATTTCTTCTGATCCTCAGTCATGAACATTTCCAATGAACCGCCCGCTTTCTTCTTTTGCTCGTTAAAATTATCGATAATCACACCAATGAATAGATTCAGCGTAAAGAATGATCCGAATATGATGAAGAATACAAAATACAAGTACATATAAATGTTGGTTTCACGAATCGGCTGCTTATCAATCTACAATTGAAATACAAAATAGAATATTATTGCATTGCATGACGATGCTGCTCGAAAATAACAAATGTTGATCATGTTTTGCGATCGTACATCACGTGAATCGATGGCATCGTTCATGATTTGAATCCATCCTTTGAATGTAGCCACTTGAAATAGACACAGATACGCTTTGCCCACGTGGTCAAAATTCATTCGCGAATTTTCCCACGTATAATTTTCAGCCTCGCATGTATTTCGATCTGGGATGATCTCGTGACTTAATGTAGTTTTATTAGAATCAACACACTGCAAACAAAACCGAAATGGATTAGAATTCAATACATCCGAAAATCAACGGGCATTTTGTTACCTTGAAATATTTTCCGGCAAAAAGCTGAACACCCATAATAGCGAAAATAAGCCAAAAGATTAAACACACCAACAATACATTGAAGATGGACGGTATAGCTTGCACTAGTGCGTTCACGACAACCTGTTTGGGACGATGATTTTATTTTGACAAATGTTAGTATTATTTCATTAGATTTGTTTGAGAAAAAGTAAAATGTAATAAAATTTAAAGTAAAATTAAAAATGTTCAGCTAATACAGATTCACTTTGATGCGATAGACTATTTCGTTTTACAACATCAATTTAGACAACAAATACCCTCGTGCAAAAATATTTACTACCAGCTAGACGTTTATTTTGAGACATTTTATGCTAGATTTTTATACACACATGGAAGAATGGTTGAGATTTTTTGTACAATTGATTCAAAATAAGAAATCTAAGACAAAATTTTTTTTAGAGAAAATTTGTATGGAGGAAAATAATTCTTCCCTGTGTGTACGTACTATTATGATTGAAATTCAATCAATCTCAAGCCACTTTGATCAAACATCTGGAATTCGATCAAGCTGGTCATTTTAATCAGTCAAATGTACTGACTATGGTGAAATTCCAATCATAGTGCTTATAAGAATATAATCGAAATGACCCAAGTTAACTAATTTTACTCATAAATTTTACTTAATCAAATTGTTCAATAATAAGTGGAGAAGAAATTCTCACAATGGTATGCTACGAAAATTCAGACTTTCAATAATCCATTTATGAAACATAAAAATGTAAATTTTCGTAAGAGATTGCAAAATCATGCGATCGGCGCATGAATTAGGGTATTTTTTCAAATACAAACCACATTAAACACACATTTACAAAAAAAAATTAAGAAATAATATCGAACAAAATAATTTATTAACCAACATTCAGTCCAAAAAAATATATCAAAAATTCAAAAAATACTAGAAAATAAGAAAAAAAAACAATCCAATACTTGTAATTTCTTTGAATATTACACAACAACTGAAGCCAACATTGTACATTAAACTTTCAATTCATTTCTAGTTCATCAATTTAAAGTTCTTATTCAGTTTGTCATATATTGGTTTCTATTGTTGTACAATTAGCCACTTAAAGCTTGAAAAAATACACAGAGAAATACAGGAATTGGCAGTCTTTTTTAGCTTAATGTGAAACAATTTCTTTTAGAAATGTTGTGAATAATCGCCACTCTATTTTGATGATTGACTTGAAAAAGTTTTACGTTTACGTAGTACATAAAAGTGATACATCAAAATTGTAATACCAGATATTTGAGCCGTGATTACAACAGTAATTTGTCCCACATTTGCGTACCAACTTATCAAGATGCACACTTGTCTTCAATGCAATAAAGTACAGCGATTCCTAGCGGTTCCAATTTCATCTTTTCATAAAAACTGCCAACTCACATTTGCCCAATCATTTCAATTTGTATGGGAACACTGATTCGAAAAACAGGTTTCAAACGGTGCAATTACTGTTTATGCTTTCTAATTGTGTTTATGAGCGAAAGTTTAAAGATGTTGTGATATTCATTCCGTTCGCTTGTAGTGTAATTGTGCAGAGCTAATAAACAGATGGCTAAGCTGTTGTTCTAAATTGTCCTAGGCCACGACTAGTATAATTCATGTGTATATGGTGCTATTGTTTTCATTTGAATGTGTTTTGAAGTGGTTGTTGCATTTCTAACGTCAACAATCAACATATTATTCGAATTGGACAATAATACTAGGTTAAACTAAAACGCAACATTCATTTACATAAAATTTTATGTATTTTGACTTTTTCTAACACAATTCAAGTACATTCCGATGTAAGACCGCTAAATATATGATGATCGCAACGAGTTAAAACAAGTAAAACGGACGAGAGATGCGATGCAAAATGAATCTAGTGGAAAGTAGAAACGGCTTCGAAAAAGGATAAAAGAGTGTTGACAAAAAACATTGTGGAAAAAAAATGTTGCAATAAGAAAATGTGTTGAAATTGGTTGATTCATTCTAAAGGGAAAAAAAATCAAAAGAACTTCTAATGAAAATTACGATGCAAATCGCGATATCCAAAAAAAAAAGTTACAAAAGGATAAAAATAAGATGAAATAGTGTATGGGTTTGGATATGTTAGTTTACGTACCCTCATGCCCTGCATACGGGACATGGCACGTAGCGGTCTCAGAGCTCGAAGCGTTCGCATGGTTTTGAACGCTTGAATGCCTCCAGCTCCACAAAGTGAAGCAACAAAGTTGATTAACGACACCTATAGAATTCCAAAACATGATAAATATCAATCGCACGTAGACGAAAAAAAATCTCCACCTAGAACTGCACACAGATTGTTTCGTTTTGTTTCGTCGAATCCTGATTATCGCGCGACGGGCTTAAATCATTTTCGAAATAAAATACATAACTCCTCCCATTCATAATTGCTGAAGTGGCGTCTATTTACATATTTTATATCAATTTGAACCTATTACAATCAAAATGTCAACGTTTGCTTGGTTTTAAGAATCACACGAAATGTGCATGAACCAATTTCCTGATTCGAATCAATGGGGGACAACAAGATGCGCATGAAATAACCAGTTCATCATCATAAAAAACATTAAACTCACAAAAGCGCAGCATCATCCGATCGACGGATAGAACGGAGATAAAAAGCATAACACATCAAAAAGGTTCGCGTTGTCTGTTCCATTGATTTTGTACAAAGGTATAAAGCGAAAGCAAGGCACCCACTTGAGGCAAAGCAATCAAAACATAAAATAAAAGAAATAAAAATCACAGTTGGAAAAGAGCGTTTCAAAAACATCGACGACAAAGTTTCAGCTTTGTACACTGATGAAATCTGTACAAAAAAAATGGTTATTCGATCGTGTATTTATATGAACTGAACATTGTACGTAGATTAGGCGTAAAAACACACACACACAAATCGCCACAGTTTCGCTACCATCGAACGAATAAAATTTAAAAATATCGATGAAGAGTTTTGTGTGAGTGTCGCTGCTGTGATCGACGGTACTTACTCGCATACCCTCCCAACGTGACACAGCACGCAAGGGACGTAGAGCTCGTAGTGTTCGCATCGAACGAAATGCCGGTATATCAGCGGCACCAGCCCAAATAGCGCCCAAATTTATCAACGACAACTGAATTTTAATGCATAAGCAAAAATAAATATTGTGTGAAATGTTCAATTTGATGGGAGAAAAAAGTCCATTCTTCTTAAAATTGGTTTGCCCTTCTGGAAATCCTTCTTATATGCGCAAAACGAACACATTTCTGCGGCCGCACTTGTGTTTATGATTGATGTTGAGATAGGGCATTGGAGGCACCACAACCAACTTACCATTACAATGACGAAATCAAGCCAGCACCAGGCATTGTTGAAATATGCTTTGAAACCCAGAGCAACCCACTTGATTAACATCTCCAAGAAGAAAATCACGGTGAATATACGGTCCATATAATACAGAATGTCTTGCAGAACCGGTCGATGAGGTAGATGAACATCTTCGAGAGCCTTTTGTTCAAATAATACAATGGATGATTAGTTTTTCTTTTTCTTTTTACGATGGATGCCTTCGCTTCGAATTTGAGTGATTGAGTGAATTACCAGAGCTAAACTACTGAGCAAAATCATTGTGATGACAGCGGTTTCGAAATATTTGTTTTCGATTAAACGAAACGTTTTCAGACGTAAATTGCCCCATCCTTGCCAGAATGGCGAATCTTCATCGCCGGCAAAAATTGGGAATTTCTTGTAACATGCTTCTGGTAAGCAGTCAATAGGTCCCTCTTCGATAATCTCATCTTCATCTGCGTGTATCACCAGTATATCTTCACCGAGACTCTCTTCGCCTTCGACTTCGTCATCTAAATCTAGTAAATACGTATCGGTTTCAGTTCCAAACTGGATATTTAATTTTGAAAAAAAAAATGAATCAATTACCTCGTTCCATATCCATGCGCTCTTCTTTGCTTGCGTCGCGCTTCTCCTCGCCGTCCAACGTTTCAGCGCTACCTTTGTGACTTTCATCTTTGAACATACGGTTTTTATGGCTACCGTATGATTTTATGCTAGCCGTATCGTCGTCCTGCAAGGACATACCTCTATGATTTAATTCATGAACTAATCTATTGTCATGATGATTTATCGAGTTTCCAATCATCTGGAGAGTGTGTGGAGAGTGATAGAGAGTGGTGATAGAGTTGGATGATCAAACACAACAAAACAATAATAAATTTCGTTTTAATCGATTCAGTTTCGTATCATAAATCGAATATTTAAGAAGAATAAAACAAAATAATTGCAATTTCTATTGTATTGTGTTAAAAAAAAAGTTAAGTTCACTTTTATGTTTTCAAAATATGTTTCATTTCTTTTTTTCTTTGCTCGAAATAAATCAACGTTTTTTTTAGACACGAGTTTAAGAGAAAAACATTGCGTTACCTTGGCATTGTTCAGAAGTGTTTTCGTCTTTTTATTTTTCGATTTGAGATCGCCGTGGATGGTGAATTCCATGCCATCGCCGATGGCCACTTCCAGTTCGCCTTGGTTCTTGATACCTTTTTTGATGAGACCGTCCACCAGGATGTCGTCGGGTCCTAACTCGAGTTCATTATCACCATGTTCTGTTGACATACAACCACATATCCCCTTGCCTATCTCGTCGTTTTCGCAACAACGTTTTTTTTTCGTTTTTCGTTTTTTTGGTTTTGTTGTGTATTTGATTTTTGTTCGGTTTTCCAAACGCCATTCGATTCATTGATATATTTGATTATTTAAACCGATTTCGATACATAACATACATTTTCGATAATGCGCGTTTTCATTTTCAAGCGAACGGATTTTGTTTTTCGGTTTCAAACAGATTTTGAAAAATAAAACAAAAAGAACAATGAACGGATTAATTGACAAAATTCCGAATCCAACAGTGCAATCCCACTGTATACGCAATGACGATTTACAACAACGATATACAAACAAGATTTACGGCTATTTTTCATTTACTCAACATTTACCAAATTAATTTGGAAACGTAAAAAACCGACATTGACTACCCTATAGGTATTGCCCTCATTCTACCGTCAAAATGAACAACTTCTTCATTCCACTTCATTCATTTGTCAGTATTGTAAAGAAAGAGTCGAAAATATATTCATACTGGAGCTATTCAGTCTATCTTGCGCATCAGCGAATATTCGTTCATCGCCAACAGCAAGAAAAACCAATACAAATTAATTTGTATGGTGTTTCATTTGTACTTCAATCGATTTGCAATGGCAGATTAATCGGTATTATTAATTGGATATCGTTATCGGTGGAATGAGGGCGATACCTATAGAAATATGGGTAGTCAATACAAGCTTTTTTACATTGACTACCAAATAAATCAAAATAATTTAACCGACATATGAATGTCCGAGAATGAAAACGCAACTTTTAATTCTCGGACATTCATATATATTTACATATTGAACGCTCAGCGAGCGAGGGAATATTTCAATTTAAATTTATTTATAAAGACATCGAAATAGAATTTTGGTTGCAAGAATGAAAAAACGTTTGGAAAATGATGACGAACACACAGACAGCAAGACACAAATTACGATGGCGAACAACGACTAATGGATTTTGTAACAACAAAATATTCGCATTTTTCATATTGAATGACATTTTTTTTTCTCAGCAGACGATTTCGGTATGCTGTTTGATGCACTTGCAAATATTTTGTTGTGTGTTATTTTCATTAAAAACACAGGGGGACACAAAGTACCCATCGTACATATAAATCATTCATTTTGTTTTACGAAAACAAAGAAAATATTCATAAATGATGGCTAGTGGTTGATATGCCGTTGACATTTTTCAGTCATGAAAAAACAAATCTTATGGACGTAAATATATACTTAAAAATTAAAATACTACTAAATTACTACGCACTACTTATGAAATAATGACTGATGATGTGCCAGAAATAAAACCGAAAGAAAACCAAAACAAATGGTTAATGATACTAAATAAACATGTGAATGATGTGCGTGAAAATCGTTTGATGATAATTTTTTTCTGACTTGCAACGAATAAAATGTTTTGTCAAATCAATCAACATGTGAAATTTGAGGACGAACCAATATTCGAGATCGCAAAATATGTTATTCGTTATGTGGTCTATATTCAAGAATGTTTAACATAAAAGATACTGAGATAAACACCAATCAATCCAACGAAAAAATGCTTTTAAAATATTCAACACATGTTCATTTATGATGCTGCGCATAGAACAATCCATTTTGTAATTTGGCGATCATGAGTTCAATCTATCACCAATCGTGGATTATACTCTCGTTCTATCAGTCACAATAAATGAACACGTGCGAATAAAAACCAAAAACAATAATGGCAAATAAGTGAAGCGCCAACACAAAACAAAATATTAAAATTTTAGTATAAACTACAGTATTTATTATTTTGAGTATGAATTGAAGAAAGGTCAAATCCACTGTTCAACTAGTTAAAATTTTCTTTCTTTTTTCTTTTGGTTATTTTAAAAAAATCGCGATTCAGGATTTTAATCCTCTTTGTTTTGCTGTTTTTCGAACAATTTCGTAATCTTATTGCACTCAATGCTCTTAATATGATTGTGGAAACGGTTTAAAATATACAACAAAAAATAGACTCGAAGAATTCTTGAGAAGAGGAACACAAATGAAAAAAAAAAACTGAAACAAACCAATTAGTTGTTAGAGGGAAAAAAATTGCTGTGAATTCGACACGAAAGTTTATTTCATATTCAAAATTCACTCAAGTGTGTCCATTGAAAATTGGTGACGGAGTCGCAACTCAACTTAACAAACTAAATGAAACACGAGTTGGAGGGTTGCATGAAAATAGGAAAGCGGCCAAAACAAAAATGGAAAAAAAGACGGTGTGAGATCGTTATAAATACAAAACGAATAAATTCCAAAATGAAATGAGCAACTCTACTGGGGGAAATGAACGAAAATAATAATACAGTAAAATAACGAAACAACAAAAGATGGAGAGAGATAGAAAAAGAAACCGAAGTGGGTGTCATTTTTTTATTTGGTTTGGTATCGGGTACTTGGATCGAGCTGAAAGCAATTTGAGAAGCTGCAAATTGATTGTTCAACGAATTTGTTTTGAATTGAGAGATAGAGAGCGATATGTTTGATACAAAAATAGTTGAGGGGGGGGGTAGGGACATATAGAAAAATGATAAATAGTAGTAACAAGTGGATAAAAACCTTCATTCCATATCCAACTGTTGTGATGTGTCCGCTCACCTGGTGGCTGATCACTGATTTGATTCGTTAGTTTATTTTTTACGTATTTTAGTGCATTTAAAATGGATCGCTTGACCCAACCCTTAAAGCGTCCGATACGATCAAACGCTTCAGCAATTTTGTTTGTATCTTGATCGGCAGCTGGCGCTGATAAACTCGATGAACCGAAATTACTCAAAAGCAAGGCCAAGAAAAGATTCAAAACCTGATTTTCCGAATTGGCATAGACATGTTAGTGGGATGCGGTTGAAATAGTATTTATTCAAAACAAACGGAATACTTACGACTAAATTGCCAATGACAACGGTGGCTAGGAAAAATGGGATACATGATACGTCACCGACTAACATACAATCCCACATTGATTCGATCCATTCTCCGCACAGTACACGAAACACGATCATAAATGAATGCATGAAATCCGTGAAGTTCCATCGCGGCATTTCGCCATCCGGGAACAAAAACACACGATCTGAAAAACATCATTTTAAAAGGATTAGCATCGTTTATCTCCATTCGGAATCATATGCACACATAAGCATGACAAACATTAATGCTGACTCATTACATTGAATTTTCCGTAAATAACGAAAATAAATTTGACTCCGAATTTGGAATCAATTTTCAAGTGCTTTTGTATCATAACAAGCATTATTCTTCGTTTTTAATTGAGTCAACATATGTTTGAATTGAAAGCAAATCACAAGCGATTATTGAACGTACAAAAATGTGAAAATAGATATTTTAGGTAAGTGCCAAGACAGAATAGATAGAAATGTGCATTTCCAACGAAACAAAGAAAGTTTTGGTGAAGTGTATTAAAGAAGGCAAATTCAGTGATATTTTCACAAATATAAAGAGCTTCAGATAGTTTGTTTTTCTCAATATTTTTTCTTTCGATTATTCCAGTTAGGTTAGGTACCAAATTTTATTGAAATGAACAGTAGCAGAGAGAGAGGTAGATTGAATCAAAATACAAACTATATGGTCAAACACTTAAGTCCAAAGACAAGATCACAATAACGGAGATGAAATACATATGTAGAAACGCACACAAACACAAAGCCAGCAGGCTTTTCTACTTACCGACATAGTTTTTTCCAAACAGTTGCATTCCCATAACGGCAAATATGAAGATAATAATGCACAATACAAAGGTCAAATTACCTAAAGCGCCCATCGTTCGGCCCATAATCGAAATCAATAAATTCAATGTTGGCCACGACTTAGCCAATTTGAAAACTCGAAGCTATCAATTCAGAGCGAATAAAAATGATAAAACCCCCCGACGACAGAAAAAAAATTGGAAGAAAAAAAAGAGAAAGGAGAAAAAGCGAGAAATATTTAAATTGCGAAGCTAAACAATTGGCTGCAAAGTCTTTGTAAGGGCAAATGAATTGAAATTGGTGAGGTATATATGGTGTTGATTGTTCCGATGCGATTTATTGAATTGTTAACAAGTTTCATTTAAAAGCGAATGCTGCGAGCGATTTCTTAAAGTGGCATTACTTTCAAAAATGATAAGAAAAAAAACTTCAATAAGATAAATAAAAATGCAAGGAAGTCAAAAAAGTCTGCAAGTTTGTAAATATGCATTGCGCGCGTTTGCAGTTTTGTGGCAATTGGTTGGTTGATCATTACTGTTGATTCGTCGCTATAGAGATACCTGTGTAGTTTTTGCCGAATAATTGCATTCCCATCACAGCAAAGATGAATATTATGATGCACAATACAAAAGTTAGATTTCCTAATGCACCAACCGTTCGGCCCATAATTGATATCAACAAATTTAGTGTTGGCCACGATTTTGCTAATTTGAACACTCGCAACTACAGCAGGAAATTTAAAAAATGAGACAAACTTTTTTGGTCGGAATAGATTTTTCTTTTCATTTCAAACAAGAACAAAATGATCCGACGCATTTTATTACACAAATTATGGACTTGTTGAATTGGAGTCTATTTTCAATCATCACCTGAAATGGAAATATGGAAATGTTTGTTTTCACTCACCAAACGGAACGATCGTAACACAGACAATCCTTGGACACCTTCTAATCCGAGCTCAACTAATGACAATGCAACAATTATAAAATCGAATATATTCCAACCGACTTGGAAATAGAATTTTGGACTCATCGCGCAGAGTTTCATCGTTGCTTCGATGGCAAATGTTGCCGTAAAAAACTGTGAATGGGCGAGAAAAAAAACAACAAAATAAGAATAAAAACTTGTGTACCTGCTTGTATGAACTACTTACATAGTTGCCACTTTTAAGGATTTTCTCCATTTCGCGGTCCATATCGTGATGATCAAGTGCCATGAACAGTGTGTTCACAACGATACACAATGTGATAAATAATTCTACGAACGGATCGAATACTATCAATGAAATCCAACTTTGGAATTTCAGCCACGGTTCACAACAATCCCATACACAAAACAAATCAATCATTCGCATTCCAAATTCGAAAAGTTTTTCTCTCATCGTTGGACCGTCTTCGTCGTCGTCATCATCTTCTGTTGGAAAATAGTAGACAGAAACTGAACAAAACAGGGTGATCCTAATTAGTAGTGACTTTGACCCAACTGCTTTTTCTTCTTTTTTTTTTTGTTTTTTGTTGCTATTTGCAAAATTGGTTCCGCTTGGGGAAAAAGAGGTGTTCATTTTTCTCGATTGCCTATGACGGCGTTTGCTTGTTGCTTATTGTTTGCTTACATTTGGATGTTTGGTGAAAGTTTTATGCGTGGTTTTATTCTCAATGGTAATGAAATTTGGCGCATGAATTTTCGTCATAACCGATTTTCCATTCATTTCTTTTTCTGCGTTTGCAATGGAAACACGACGTACAAATGAAAGTGATTATAATGATGACATGTGCTAAAATTCAGCGATTTTTTCAACGACAACGTGTTAAACGGCTATTCATTATTATGGAAAATGAAAAACATTTTACCCGATTCAATTTAAGGAGTCGGTCAATGAGCTCGAACAGTTTTCTTATTCAAAAACCCAACCTAAAATTTCAACACTAAATTGAAACTTTCTATTGTGTAAAAATGAGTTGGACAACGATGGACACACGCACACGATGAATTTTATGGAATTTTACCCAGTAGAACGTCTCATTATTAATTAACATAATTAACCATCTGGCAAATATTTTAACACTGCTTGTTGTCATCTTTATGTCGTCACAAACAGAACGTTTACCGACGTTACAGGACTATGTTTACATTGAACATTTTCGACGCACATGTTTGTGTTTGATTTACGAAATTGAGTGCTTTGGAAATGGAAACACCATATTTACCGAATGGGTGGCTCTTTCCTCCCTCCAAAAAAACCAAAATTGCTTGGAAACGAAACAGACTAAACGATTATAGAAACGACAGTCATTGAAGTGTAAATTGCTAACGAAATGAAGAAAAAACATTTTTTCCATTTAATTTTCATAGCGCATGTTGTCTTTATAATGGTTTCGTAGAGGAATCGGCAGTAATAAGAAGATGAAGGTTCCCAAGCAAAATTTTATTTAAAAGCTTTTATTCTTCTACGCACATTGGGTTCATGGTAAGATAGAATTGGTGGAATTTGTTTGTTAAATAAGAAACGTATCGATACCAATATTTTTGGGTTACGCTCTAGATTAAAACTCACGGATTATTGAAATTGATATTTTTGATGGTTTATGTTTCATTGAGTTTGAGGCTCAAACTTTGAGTCGACATCTACTGTGGTTTTCAATCAATTTTATGCAAACAACAGATCGATTGAAGCGATTTCGGCGTCGGCAATGTGATAATTGGCTAATAAACAAAAACTCTTTGAGTACTCGTTAATCTAGTTAATAAAATCCAAATCGAACTCAAAATATTGTATAGAATAAAACAAACGTGAGACAACGCAATTAGTCCATGCACAAGATGTCATGCAGTTAGTATAAAAATGGTGAATATAAATATCGATTTCGATTGGTTTCGAAATCCATGTGAAAGCAAACGGTACAAAATGTCTACAGTACACAAAATATTGGCAAACGGATGAAGCGTGCAGACGAAAAGAACAGAAAATAAAATTAAAATTTCACGAACATATCATACTTTGGCGTATACCTTACGTCGTCAGCAACTTTATGCACATTTATTTTATGAAAATACGATGGGCTTTAACGGCATCTCTGTTATTCTGAAAGTTTTTCTTTGAAGATATTAAAATCTGGTAAGGTAGAGAATATTCAAATCTCTCTCGAATCAAAATTCAATGAAATTGTAACGTCAGATTAACAAAGTAGAAAAGAAAAATGGTATATTATACAATTTAGCCAGAGTGTGATATGTTTCGTTTATTTCCATGCATCAAACAAAACCAAAATGTGCAATAAAAAAGTGGAGCATGTTGGAATTGGCCTAATAAGGGTACTGGATCGAAATAAAGAGCGAGAGAGAGAAACAGAAAAGGTGGGAAATATGAATAAAAAGGGAACTTGAATGAAAAGAACATACAAAAGAAATTGTTTGATTCTTTTTTGTTCTTCTTCTTCTTCTTCTTCGAATGTTCAACGGCGAGAAGTGGTGCACTTCGGATGATTACGGTGTGTGTATGTGAAAGAGAGAAAGTGTGTAAAAGGTGAGGGATAAATACCTCTCTTTCCCCTCTGAAACGCAAACACGGCATTTACGAATCTTTATGCTCTGCAATGCATTGTAGCGACTTTACTTACAAAAAGAGGCAAGAATATGTACAAATTTTTCACTCGTTTTGTTTACATGAGGTAGAAAATAGAAGGTAGAGAGAGAGAAAGTGAAAAATATAGAAACAATGAACAAATCGAAAAGTCTCTACGAGAGCAAGAGAAAAAAAATTGGTACGGAAAAAAGAAAGAAAGAAACAGATGAGTCACACAAGGATAATATTTTTTTTACAAATACGCAAAGGGAGACAGAGAAATATATGAGAGAGTGTAAGAACTAAAATAGGTCAAGAATTCCTCTTGACGCTTCATTCCACTACTCCGTAATGTACCAGGGGGATTTTTTGTCGTTGTTGTTGTATGTCTGTCTAGCTCTCTGTCGCTATTTACTATACATATACATGAAAGCAGGTGACATTTGTACAAATAGTCGAAGTCGCTTCTTTATGCCATTTTAATGATATCAAATATTTTACAAGTCATACAATGGCTATCTGGTTGCAAATCTGTTGACCAAATTCAATCTCAATGGTAATTTTTAAGGCATTATTTTCTTCTTCTCATAAAATGCATTACTTTCAGATCAGTTTTCTACAAAGTTTTCGTGATGGACTAAACTTGATTTCGTAATTAACAAATTTTTTATACCTTGGCCTAACAAAAAAACAAAACAAACACTTTTCTTTTCTAATAAACTAATACAATTTTGATTAAAAAAACAAAAAAAAAACATTCCAAACTTGGAAAAATGGATTTAAATTTGTGAAAAATCACCTACTAAAATTCATTCCGAAAGATATGTTTTTCATTCAAAAAATCAGGGGGAATAAAGAATATAACGGAATGGAGGTAAAAGTAGCTCGCCATTGAATTCAATGACGATCAAGCTATTTTCATCTTCACATTCTAAACTATTTTACAAAAGTATAAAGACATCACAAAGTAGAAAGCGTTTTGTTGGTTGAAAGAAAACAAAATCAATAAAAAGGGAAAGAAAAACTCAAAAAACTGTGTTTGAGAAGTCATTTCAAGAGCGACGGTCGCTCTTCAAACGACATTTCCGCTATGTATAAAAAAAACGATAATCTAAAAAAAGAATGGAAATAACAAGTTATTGTATATGTATATAAATATATGATAAAAGGGGCTAACGACTACGACATTAAGAAGAGAGCTAAAGAAAAGAGACACGAGTTAGCTAAAAAGGGTTATTCTATACATTGGAGAGTTCGATGTCGATTGGACATGGCTGGCAGGCTGGGCAGGTACTTACCACCATGATCACTAGCATGACTTTGTCTACCGGCAGCTTGTTCGATGATGTCATTCAAAACCATCACATCTACAACAGGCCATAAAATCCATTGAGCATCACTGAATGAATTGAAAAGTGTATGTGCATAAATATATATATCAAAACCCCGTTACCTTTCATATCCACAACAGTTTGCCCATGGACGGGTTCAATAAACGGATTGTCGTTACTATGTTTTATTTTACCAGCCTCATCAGTATAGTCCGATCCATGATCCTGAAAATGCATTCAAATTTGTTGTTAAGCGAGTGAATTGGCCGCGGCAAATGCCGAATGATGAAGTGAACACACCGTATGTGTGTATTTAGGTGTGCTTTACTTACGTAATCTCGATGGCTTTTGTGATTAATGTCGGTGCATTGGGCACCGGTGCCCGGCTGCTGCATAACTATTGATTGATTTCGTGATCTATGTCTAAGTTTTTGTTCTTTAGTTCCTATTAAATCACCGTGCGATGTGTATGATATGCGAGACTGATGTGATGTATATGATGAATGTCTTGATCCTAAAATACCTGACAGTTTTAATAGAGCCATAGTCAACGAATATGTTAGCTATACAGCGAATCGTTGGTGGAGGACAATAAAACCAAAACAAAAACAAAAACACATGTATTGCATATCAACTTACCCATATTTGTGTAATAAACTGGAACGATGATGGCCCCGTTTTCTTCGGACATTGGAGTTACGGCATTTGAGTCATCTGCATACGGTAAATGCTCCTGTGCATCCAAATACGTCGACAATACCAATGGTTTACGATCGTTACCTGGTATTCCGAAACGGCCGCGCCCATTTCGAATCGTGAACTATTTCGTACAAAATAAAAAATTGTTCGCATTTAGTATTCGTCTTTGTGGATGTCTTAAAGTTCATGCAAACGCATTTCTGCCCCAGAAATAGGATAAAAAAAATTCTTTTTTTCGAGTTGAATAGCTTTAGCATGAAATTTGCATTTAAATCCCCCTTTTCAAATGCGTTACTACATGGACTTTATATACATCATGATATAGTGTATCGAATTCATGTAATGTTTCCTTATTTTTTTGAATCTCTTTTTTGGTCGAGATTTTAAATAAGTGAAAAGTTTTTGTTGTTCTCCAGATTGTTGCAAAGAGTTCAAATGTTGTGTCGATAGAGTCTATCGATTCTAGGTTAGTAGACTTAGACAGCAGTTACATACATCGCATTCCTTATTGTGCTCATTTGTAGTCGTTTAGTTATAGCTAGAAGAGCATTCGTGCAACACTAACATTGAATACATAGAACCGAATAGAATTACACAATGAAAGAGTTTCAAAAGAAAGAGATTTAGCCAAGATTGGAGTTAGCAGGTGGATCTAAATTCAAAACTGACTTAATTTGATCATCGTATTGATTGAGAAATGAAAAGTGTCGATTTTTTTCATTACATGTGTATTTTCTTTTCTTTCGCACTTTTTTCTGGGTTGATCGAAGAATCGGTGCAACAAGATTTGAATAAAACTATGTAAAATTATGTAGTCGAAGGCAAATGGATGTTTAAATGATAGTTTCATTAGTACCTGGTGCGAACCACGTGAACCTCTTCGAATATTGAACGGTGAACCGGGTAAAGACAGCGATGTCTAAAGGGCAATCAGAAAATACTCAGTTTTAAAATTCGGATTGTTGTTTTTTGTTTTGCATCTTTGATGTTGTAATTTCGTAATTTTTTTTGCAACTATTTACATGATCCCTAAAAAAACGAACAAACCCGATCGCTTCAAGAACTCGAACTCGGGTATATGAATTTTTTTTTTCAATTTTTTTTTTCTGTTTTATGACAAACTATGAAATCATTTATATTCACTTCCATTTTATTTCTATCCATGTGAGAAATTGGATTGGAATAAATCAGCTTTCAGTTGTCTTTCACAGGTAATTTGCATTCATGATGACAAAGAATTATGGCTAAGAACCTACCTTCGGCTTTTATTTAGCATTGACTTGAACGAGCCCAAGCAAACAAATTGGAAAAGAAAACAAATAAATAAAAGAAAACTAAATTGGTTTTAAAGCGTTTCAATGCGAAAATGAAAGGAAAACAAAAACAAACAAAAAATGAGAAATCACGCGGAGAGAAATGTATATCTAAAGCGTTTTGTTAAAAAATATATACACAGGAACAGGATCAGAAATAGAAGCATCGAAATAGCCAAGCTCTAAATTTAGAATTATTTCGAATCAATGAATAGTTGAAAAGTCGATCACATCAAAATAACGCTCATGAAAGATAAGATGACAAGCTAAGAACTGAAATAAAATGATATTACGTTATTTAACTGAAAATAGAACTGAAAATTGCGACGAAAAAAAAACCGAATATGTTATCATAGTCTCATCAATGATTTCCATTTTATTTTAAAAAGGTTGATATCTTCGGATTTGTTGAGTATCATGACTTTCTACAATTCAAATATGTGACGTGTGAACGATTTTCTTAGCCACAAATTTTAAATCAATATATACACATATGGCTCGGTCTCTATCGTCTACATCGTATGAAAAACACCAAATTTTTCCCATCGAGCGCATATCACTGTGGAAAAACACGAAACGACACTGTGGAAAACACGATTTCAATTTGAATTGTAGCCCTTCTTAAGCCATGGTTGACTTTAACCAGTTTTGTCGTCGTCGTCATCGTTCGCCTCATGATAATTTCATAATTTGTCATAAATGTTTGAAGCGCTCGAGTTGTTTTAAGTGAAACGAGCGACGCAAATGAATGGAACATACGTAATGCATTTGGATGGATGGGTTCGAAATGGACTGACTATACATAATTGACGGGTTGAAGGCGAAGGATTTTCTAAAAACGATTTTTTTTTGTCTATATTAGACGTCATAGATGAACTCACACAAAATATAGAACCAATACTGAATAAAAAGAAATAATCGAATTTGGAAGTACAATTGCAAATGTAGTTTTTTTTTGGCGCATCGATTTTTTTGACAATGGAAAAACAATGAACGAACAAACATAAAAGGAATAAAATCACAAACTCGAACAAAACTATTTGAAATCGATATATTTGTGAATGTAGTGCCATGCGAATGGAAGGTTGAATAACAGCCGCCGTAGTGGCAACAGCAACGGTATTCACACAGAAGCTAAAAAAGGCAACGTTGAAAATTGACTTTTAATCGGATTTTCAATATTCAGAGATTAGCTTCTGTATCTGTATCACATGCGAATGTTGGAGGAGAATGTATGAAGTGAGCTGAAATTGGTGATATTTCAAATGTATGATTGATTTGTTTGGTGCATGAAACATGCATCACACATTCAGCAAATGAACTCTTGATATGATATGCAATTGTTTATTCAGATTCAAACTAAAAATTCATAAAATGCAAATAATTTCCAACGAAGAGAAGTGGAGCATGCACAAACGAGAATGTATCTATTCTGTGTATTGTGACTGTGAGTGTGTGTAGAATTGTGCAGACTTTTTTCTGTCCTCTATTGAGTTCATTTAATTTCAAACGGAAGTTTTTATTTAGACAGATATTATACAATAGAGAAGATCTAAACGTTTTTTTCTTATAGAATAAAAACGCGTTCAATAGAATCCATTTCGGACGGAATATGGATTAAAAATGAATATGTTCAATTCTTACAGCTTTCTTTCGATTTCAATTTCATTTGGAACTTGACAATTTCTTTGAAATGTAAATGAACTTCTGAGAAGTGAATCGGTGCATGCCGTGTTCAGTATGGTAACGCAAGTGTATTCATTTTGCAGTGGATTTTTGTGTCGGCATTTTCTTCGGGGGATTGTTAGACGATAGATAATCACTTTCAAGATGGCGCATATATAACCATTATGCTAATTAATTGTCGAATGGTATAAATTATGAGAGCCAATTGACTCGTTATATTTCTACTAAACATCAGATACATTTTGTGCAGCCGCGTCGCGCTGCGCCGCCACTTCTGCGGTAAAAATGTCTATGAATTAATTATTTAAATTGTCGCTTTGAAGAGAGCGAGAGAAAATAGAGAGCACCACACAACGAACGGCATTAATTATTGAAATTCCTACGGGTGACGGAATATTAATTAATTTCAATGCATATTTATTAACTCTTAACCACCGGAGACTATAGGCTTTGATATTTTTGTTTTGTTTTGTTTTTTTGCTCAACTATTACGCAATTTTTAAATGCATTCCAAGCAGCCAACGATTGAATAATACCATCGGGCATATATAAATGAAATGAGAAGGCGAGAGCAGTTGGTGCTATATTTTTCGATTTATAATAATCGGATTAAATTGATAGCTTACAACTAACAATGGAAATGTGCAATTTTTTTCCCATTTGCGACAACAATAAAATGCCATTTCCAAATGAAATCGTATTATATTGGGAGCATCCACAATAGTTGATTACAATCAACGGCGGACTGTGATGAAAAAAAAAAGAAATGCCAACAAAACCATCAATTTATGCTGACGAAATTGTTGACTTTTTTCCGATGCTACAAATTAGTTGCTCTTATTTGCCACAGTTAAATAGCTCCGCATATTCCTTTCAATTGTAATTCGTTGAACAATTGCAATTGAGAATAAAAAAAACGATCTAAAAAGCGTACCAAACATATCACATATACCGTTGTTCATCCATATATAATTTTTCGTTGCTATAATCGAAACAATGAGTTTTGGTACGAATTTTGATCTCTGGTTTAAATTAGCCCGCCCAAATGTATATATGTAACGCTGGCAAAAAATGAGAACGACGATTTAAAAATGGAATCAGTCGCATTTCCTCTGTTTTTTTGTTGAGCAATACGAATTAATTGAATGTGAAACCGTAACCATATTTCAAATGGTTGCGTTCTGATGACTGAGGCTTTTTTTCGGTAAGTGGAATCAATAGCATTGATAGCTGATGTATTGGCGAAAGGAAATTTAAAGGGTAAAAAAAGCTGGATCGATACATGGAATTTCCGATGAAGAAGCGGCGGAAATGAATCGATGTAGATATTTGTGCGGTCGAATGAATGGATTTTTGTGTGTATGTGTGTGTGAGTGAGAAGGAATAGGAATTGAGAATGCTACAAAATTGCGTGACAAGCAGGAAATAAACGGGAAAATGCCATTTCAATCAATTCGATTTTTATGATGAAACCATTCGAATGAGAAACGATTGTCTCTTGTGATAATGTCAAATGCCAGCGAATAAAAAGTGTAGCTGATTTGAAATAAGTGATATCGTGGACAGAACGCCCTAGCCGACTATCAAAAAATGAAAATGTGACACGTGTACGATTGATGTGCGTGAACAACTGTCTGACGCTATTTACTTATTTATTTTATGTTGAATAAACAGCATCGTGAACCGAATGCGTTCGGATATTATAGATGGTGTTTGTGCGTGTCTCTTGTGGAGGGATAGATTGTATATATGTGTGGGGGGTGTTTGAGTGTATGTGTATGTGTATGTGTTTCGATAGAAAATTGGTGCATGCAAAAGCATTCGCATTGCAATACTTACCGTGCTGACTTTGCGAACCTTAGACGCCATCGTGCCGGTTGATGGTGCAGTTGGTCTTTGCATTTCGCTCACCGACTCCAATCCTTCGCTACGGATTGACATTTTCTCCTTGTTGTTGTCATCATTGCCCTTCTCCTGTCCGACAAACAGCTCATAACTATGACATGAAAAATCGGATGGACTTTTCGCCATTTCCGGTTGATTCGCCGCATCAACTGCCGCTTGTGCTGCCGCTGCTGCGGCTGCTGCATGCGCCTCGATTTTGGCCTGTTTATTTGCAGCCGCCTGTTCAGCTTCCTATAGGAAACAAATAAGAAACATTTTGTAAAATAATTAATGAACTTTCAACGGTCATCCTCTAATATAAAATGCCTTATGACGTATGAATTGAATCGATATGCTATCTTTAGGCATCTAAAATGAAAATAAACTCCGAATATTTGATATTCGAATGACATTTCAGCTCGATTTACGTGTAAAGCAAATACATTGGCTCTAGGTTCATTCATTTGTTTATCCATGGTTTGGAAATGCTATTATTATCGTTTCCGTCTGAATTTGATTTTATCGATTTGAACTATAAGATTAATGAGTTCTGAAACTCGACAATGGCAAAGTTGTTGTATTGGATTGCCGTTAAATATTCATTAATTGTGGTTTAGTATTTTGCATTATCCTGTATTTGAACATTTCAACTAGTTTGTTACGATGTAGTTGTTTACGATTGATTGTAGTTGTTTACGATTGTTGAAACCATTTTGACAAAACTTTCTCCAAACATTTCCTCGTTTGACGCATATATACAGTCAGTCAAAAAACTATTCGGCCACCTTCGAAATTTTTTTTCTTTCGCATTTTTTTGTGCATTTAATCATAAAAACCGTAACTATTTTTGTTTAACAATTTCATTTGTTATTTAATAAATTTGAAGTATTTTCTATATTATTCATAGCAAATTTATTATATTGTACAGTGTACACATTTCGGAATATTTTTGAGAGGTTTTTTCTCGCAACCCTCAAATTCGACGCAAAAAAGTATTCAGCCATTCATCGATTTCATGATTTATTTCTATTGTTTTGACATTTATCGATGACAAATGCCAATTGAATTTTCTAATATTGTGAAATACAACTAAACTGTCACTTAGTTGAATGTATTTGCGCATTTAGTTAGCTTGAAAACCGCCGAATCGATGGAAAATGGTGAAATCTAAAGAAACGACTCTCTTCGAGGAGAGAGAAATCATCATACAAAAATAACAAAAGTGAGCAAAAAACGCTGAAATATGTTCAAAACCACGATCAACCATAAACTCAATCATCAAAAAGTATAAAACAAGTGGCACAATACTGAACAAAACAAGATCGGGCCGGCCGTCGAAGATCAGCGATCGGCTGAAAACGAAAATATTCCGAAAAATCAAAATAAATCCAAAGGTTACGGCGCCAAAAATTGCAGCAGACATCGCTGGCACTGACAATGTTGAAGTTACACCGCAAACAGTAAGAAATGTTCTGAAAAAACATGGGTACAATGGTCGGATCGCACAGAAAAAATGTTTGGTGAGTTCAGCTAATAAGGCCAAGAGTTTGGAATTCGCTATTCGTCATGCAAACACACCTCAATCGTACTGAAATAAGGTGATGTGGTCGGATGAAAGTAAGTTTGAAGTATTTTTATCGAATTTTCGAGCTAAAGTGTGGCGAAAACCCGGCACGGAGTTACAGCCAAAAAACCTAACGCCAACCGTGAAGCATGGCGGCGGTTCCGTGATGGTGTGGGGTTGCATTACTGCTTCGGGTGTCGGAAAATTGGTGTTTATCGATGGAAGAATGTACCAGTATGTGTACAAAGGCATTCTTCAAAGAAATCTGTTGTCAAGTGCTCGTGAGTGCTCGCCAATTGAACATTGAGCCCGACTTTGTGTTCCAGCATGACAACGACCCCAAGCACACGGCAGGAAGTGTGACGGAATGGTTGTCCAAAAAGATCGAAAATGTGCTTGAAATGCCAGCCCAGTCACCTGACCTCAATCCTTTTGAACATTTATGGGACCATTTGGATCGAAAAATACACCAAATCAGCATCAGTAGCATAGCTGAGTTGAAAGCCACGATTGTATCAGAATGCGCCAAAATCCCAACGACTGTTTTTTGTGTCAAATTTAACTATCTCACTGAAAAACGTCCCAAAAACATTCTAAAATGTGATTAATATTTTAAATATGCTATTAATAATAAAGAATATACTTCAAGTTTAATAAATAAACAAGAATCGAATTGACTTTGAATAACTATTGCACAGAAATATGAAGAAAAAAAATAGTTTACAGGTGGCCGAATACTTTTTTGACTGACTGTACATGTTAGTGTAGCGCTTGCAATATATTCCACTGTAAAAAACAAAAACAATATCCAATAAAAAAATCTTATGAAACGTACTCTGAGCGCCTCCTCTTCAGCGGCTTCTTCTTCTTCGGCTTTCTTTTGGAGTTCATCGTATGACATGGCGACAATGGCCAAGATCAAATTCACAAGATAGAATGAACCAAGAAATATGATAACAATGAAGAAAAGCATGTGCCAGGGTCCGGCAGATCTTAAGACTAATTGGTACAAATTTTCCCAGTAATCTTGTGTCATCAGACGAAAAGCGGATAAAAACGCCCAACCGAACGTATCGAAACTGGTGTAGCCATAATTTGGATTTTTCCCATAGCCTTGAATGCAAAAATAGCCTTCCGGGCACGTGCCTGCACCCGATGAATTACCGCATAATGGATATTCCAGTGCACCTTCTTCTTTGAACCAGTTCGCTATGGAGAGCAGAAGAAAAGAGACAGAGCAAGAAAAAATGGAATGTCTTTAATGAGTTTGTGTTCCAAATGTGGTTTTACGCAGTCTATGACTAAAATCTCCTAATGAATCTATTAAGACTATGTTAATTTTTGTTGTTCTTGTTTGTTATATTTGAGTAAAAACAGAATCTGCTAGACAGATTGTTCTAAATGTTCTACGGAAAACAAACTACTTAACTTTTCTGAAATGGAAATTACACACGCACATTGTGATTGTGACAAAAACTATTTTTGGTATAATCAAATGGTTTGTCCAATGGAACAATGTGTACTTACTGTCATTTTTCATAAAACTTTCCCAATTTTCATCGGTTAAATTGCCCCATGAGCCGTCCAATGGAAACTTGCGTATGCATTTTTGCGTTAGCACGCCCATGTAAATTTGCAGGCCCATCAAAGCGAATATCGACAACGAGAACATCGTTAAAATTATCACATCGCGCAGATTTTTTACCGATTCAATAACAGCACCAACGATGGTCTTCAAACCCGGTACAATGGCTACGGTTTTCAAGGCACGCAATACACGAAATGTACGCAACGCCGCTAAATTACCCAAATCGATTCCCATTGTCACATAGCTGTCATCGGTGTTGGTCATGGTTCGCAGAGAGTGTGAGAGATAGAACGCCGTAGCAAATGATCAAATGTTCGAAAAGTAAAGTCAAAATCGGACAAAAAATATTTGCAGGACAAGCGAGAATAAAACCGATTGATTTGTTTTTTTTTTGTGCATGACAGTTAGAAAAGAAATAACGGAAGAAAATCAAAATCAAACTGAAACGAATGCAAATGAATAAGAGAAACCTGCAAAAAACCCTTTCTTTCGCTCGACTTGGCTTATCCTGTGCTCACACTCCTATTCGATCAACCTCATCTAATTTCATTTCAGAATAGCAAAAAATGGTGTGTCTATACGACTTGCAATTTATGTCAAGAAGCGATTTCTTCATCGACTACGATGCCATTAAAGTTTGAATGTGAAATAAAACACGTTTCAAATGATAACTTATAACTTTTTGAATTGCATTGGAATATACATCGTTTACCATCGTTTTAACCACTGGATGCCGAGTGTTGAAAACGTGCTTCATCGAGCGAAAAGTTAGTTGCATAAAAAGGAATCCGGGGTTTTTGAATTGTCGATGTCAGTCATCCACTTGTTTTGGATGCATTTTGTTTCAAAAGCTATCCCAATGAGAGTGCTGACATTTCCGCGTACGCTGCATTGTAGTCTGTTCATCTGTCGCATGGTGAAACCATGCTATTTAAAAGACTTCTACTTCCCCATTATTTGTTTCATCAACATTTTTCATTTTTCCTTGGGTTCAAAACAGCAGCGAATCGGAAACAAAAAAAGCTCACACATACATACATAGAATAGCGAGAGAAAAAAGGAATCCACACAGCAGTGGAAAAAAAGAATCAAATGAAACTCTTAAGTGGAAAAATCTGTTGAATCTTTTTGTATTGGGTCTCTCTTTCTCTCACTGTGTTTGGTGTTCTAGCGCCCATTGAATTGTCGCGCGCAAAAGTAGTGCATTGAATCGATTGTTCGGCGTACTCAAAAAAGGAAATGTGTTTCATAGAAGAATCACAGCAACAGCAGCAGCAGCAACAACAACAACAAAAATGCCCAAGCTCAAGTTATTGTTTGCACTTTCCATTGCCTCGCGACTTGTTCAAACCGAAATGAAGCTGGTTTCTTTTTTTCTCCATTCTTCCACCCTGCTTATGTATGTCTGCCTTTTGCCATGTGACGACGGCAAGGGGCTCAAGTGTATGATGGTACTCATCGTCATCCGCATTTTTAAGCATTGAGTGGCAACATTTGTTGTGGAGGCAAGTGGAAACGTATTGCTGTAAAGTGTATGTGCAGTCGTGTATGTACATTGTACACCAAAAATGCCACACAATGCACGAATCAGCTTACGAGCAAGCTGAAAGCATGCTTGTATACGTATTTGAGAAGCGTTCCACTGGAAAATCGAAATGCGAGCGAGAGAGAGGGAGAGAAAGACTTTTTCATTTGAATGCCATTCGCTTCATTTTCATGAGCTAGCATTTTTCTCTATAGATTACAGACAAATAGAAATTTTTCAGTTCGCGTGCACAGTGTGGAAAATCGATTTGCCGTATACTGCACACACACACACACACACACACACACACACACAAACCGTGCGAATGAAGAAAATGCAATCTCACACACATTCGAGATGGTAAATATCCATCAAAAACTGCTGCCGATCGTGGAACATGAGAGTGGTAGAGGAGCGAGCGTACGGTGAACGAAGTAGGAAAAAAAATAAAGTTCCGTGGCATAGTAAATTTTGGGTGAGGTCGCAATGGTTGTGAGGAAACAGCAAATAAAATCTACGAATTGGGTTGAATGTAAGCAAATAAAAACCGAGCATTCCACACCACGTTCGAACTTTTTCGACCTCAAACAACCGAGGGCATTTGGAACATCATACTCTCTCTTTCTCACTCCTTTCGCCATCCATTCTTCCTCAATCCCGGGAATGATTTTCCAATCGAAGATTCTCAACTCCCACATCGTTTATAAATGGAAAAAATTGATAAAAGACACTCAATTAGAGCACTAAAATTATTAATGGTTTGTTGGAAGCGAAAATAGATTTGAAATGGCGTATTGCAATTAATTGGAAATCGGGTTTTCTTCATTCGCTTTCGCGTGCTAAATGCAAACCTGTGACCGGCAAACAGGCGGCATGCACAATTTCAAATTGCAACACGAACATATAACAGGCTAGATAATTATACGGTGCTTGCTTGCATTCGATATGTACCCCAATATGAATGTGCAATGTGCATGTGGTTGTGTCTATGTATGCTAGTCACACAATGAAATATTGTTTGAATTATCCGGAGAATAATATCCGCACAGTGAATCAATTGACAATTTCATTTGCATGCCATACGACCGACGTTCGATTGAAATGCCAGAAGCCTGGATAAGCATTCAATCGGAATAATGTAGGCCACTATTTCTGCAGGTAAAATTAACGTTTGCTCACATTGTCCTGGGTCAGCATTCAACTAGTCATTTTCCGAAGGTAAAGAAGAGCAAAGAATGGAAAACCTCCGCACTTCAAAACGTGTTACGGTGAAAAGAAGCAAATGCGATGGAAATTCCATTTCATATTAGCTCCATCAATTAGATTCATGTTGAACCAAAGAACATTTTTATCGCATTTGATGAAAATCTATTTTCGCGGTTCATCTTCGCCCTTTCGGCCAATACCAAATAGAAACTCCACACTCGAATCTACAGCGAAAAAAGCGCACTTGCCACTCGTTGCTCGAGTAAAATGGACTTATCGATTTACCAATAAAAAAAATATTTTGTAAATTGAGACATTCACACCGAATATTGATAAAAAAAATTCAACCACTGTTTAAAAATAAAAACGCACATTCCCGAATAATTGAAACCTTTTTCAGCCGAATTCTTGCTCGAATGAGGCCCATCGCTTCTATTTTGAAAGCATTTGCGGCGCTTTCACACGGGTTCGATTACATTATTGCCGTACGTGTTAATCCTTTTTATTACGTTAAAGTTGAATTTAATTTTATGGAGGGACTGGAAAATATAGGTGTATACGAGTACAAATGGCGTTGAAATTGAAACTCGAAAAAGGCAAAATACGCAAATTTTCTTTGGATTACACATTTAAAATCGTAAAAATAAATACAAACACTTAAAAACAAGTGTAATATGATTATAAGCGGCACACGTATACACAATTGGCGACTTAATCTGTGCGTAATTTAATGAACGTACGTGTGCAAAAAGAAATCCAAGAAAAGAGACGCGCCACGTTGCCACATCCAATAAATTAATTAAGTGCTTCACATTCAAATTCTGAGAGAGTAAACGAAATAAATTTGATATAATGTATTTATAAAAATGTGTTCTCTTCATAATCTTAACGTAGCTGTTGGTTGATTGACTTTTTTTCATCTTCAAATACATTGCGCTCATAGTCGCTGCGTCATTAGCCATGATTTTTTTTTGCTTCCAACAAAGGAATTGCTTTTGAATTTAGCATTATTTCGATGAAATCCCCGTGTTGAATTTTTGTATCTATCAATTACCATACACAAAGTGGCAGGAAAAAAGATCAGGCAATGCAGCGGTAGCAATTTAGCACGTCTTAGGATAAAAAAAGAGAATTTTTCGTTCGATCAAGATATTCTTGGAGAACGGTTGCCAAGGATTTAGTTTGTTTGAACACTTCCAACTATCGCTATAGCGTCAAGACTCGTCTGATCCACGGCAATGATCTTTTTGATATACTGAGCATTTTATTTGGCTTCCTGTATTTACCCTGTCTTGCGCGCCGTCGTATTTCATAATAAACTTTTCATTTAATAATAATCATCTATATATTTACATAAAGTACATGGACTGCTGAGTCACTCTGGGTAATTCTTTTTCATCATCATCTTCTTCTTGTTCAACGTCATCGTCGTCATAATTTTGTTTTCTGCTACACAAAACACGGTTTTGTAAAACTAATACATCAGGAACTGATTATTATGCTATCTCACTATGTATACGTTGTATATGAGAATACTTATGTGGTTAAATTCTAAACGAAAATTGCTCCAGTTATTCTCTGCAATTTCCAACATTGACTTCTACTAATTGAAACGATATATATATATATATATATGGTTTGATAAATTATCAACTGTCTAAACTCTCTATGTTGCTATCGATTATAAGGCTTTTGTGTCGAACTATAACTTTCTAAATTGAATTTAGTACTACAATAATAATCACAAATTGTTTCATAGAAATTCCAGTTTGTTGTTGTTACATGTTCAAAAGAAAAACCGTTCGGAATAGTTTATGTATCAAATTATTCAGATTGTGTACATGTATACTATGTTGCTGATTCAGCTCTGGCACATGGAGAAATCCTAGATGAAAAATGTGTCAAAACCAGATATTTTTATAAAAACTTTTGGGTCATCAAACATACTTTCATCACCTGTGCACAACGGCACAGCACAATGTCACGAATCGAATGAAGTGGCCAACGTGGCCAATCCAATTTCACATACATACATCTGCATATCTATTCATTTCATTGTTTACAAATGTACATAGAGCACCATAGCAAATTGGCGATCCAGTATGAAATCACATTGTTGAACGCTTTCTCGAATTCCGACCCGATGACATGGATGGTCGAACCATTGGAAATTATGCAAATCATACAACTCACTGACTAAGCATTTTGAAGGATAAAATTCAATCAAAATTGAATTTCATCAACTGAATGCAAACCATTTGGTTTTTGTGAGGGGGAGTTCTTTGTTGAAATTCATGCCCATTGATTTCTTCGTTGTCATCATCGTCGTCTTCGACAATGAATACAGAACCGACAGGTGGACAGATTTAAATTTAATTTCAAACAATTCGTAATTAATGCTCTCACTTTCTCTGCGTTTGTCTAATCTAAATATTATTACAAAAGACGGTTTAGTCTCAAACTACTTGTAGTTAAAGTAGACCTCAAATATCTAGGTTATATATTATGATTAATGATTATGTCGTCTAATCTATCTATAGTTGAGTCGAGTATACGGGAAAATCGGCTATAAACAGCAATAATAATAATGATGATAATAATAAAATCAAAATGAACATAAGAACTACAAACGGAAAAATTGAATAAATTGATTGTCTGCTGATGTAACTCTAGAAGTTACAGTCATCAATACAATCGCTCTGAATAAGGGAAAAAAACGCAAACGTGAGAATTCTATTTATAAAGAAGATGATATTGGATACTTACGCTAATGTTATTACTACGAAATCCAGCCAATTCCACGCATCACGAAGATACGTGAACGGAGACAAAATGAAACCGCGAGCCATCACTTTAACAGCTGATTCAAAAGTATAGATTCCGGTGAACACCACCCTAAATACGAAGAAAAACAAAATAGACGCAAGAAAATTTATCTTTTTGGAAATTCCATTGGAGAAAAAAAAACGCTTTGTTTACTAGTTGGTTTGTACACGAAAAAAGAAAAAAAGAACCAAAAATTACTTCCAAATAAATAACTGTTAATCAAAGCTGCAAGCTGTAGGAGTTCCCATTAACATCAGTTCATAAAGCCCTTGAACTTTTTAACCATAAAATCAAATGTCAAATGTTTCACTCGTGCACAAAGAAAAGAGGGTCGGTCTCTTGTTGGTGATTCAGCGCAATCCTTGAGAAAACACCACTTCATTTATGTAATTAACGCTTAATAATGATAATTAACTCTATTCTAATTGCGATCAATCCAACATAATAGAAATTCTCTCTCAATGGATCGTGATGGATAACTCTCGCGCGTCGCGAGTGAAAAACAAAACAAAACACAAAATATATGCACGCTTCGTCGAAAAATCGTTCGTTGGTGTTGAATAAAACGCGTCGAGAATTCAAAATTGAAACCTTAATGAGGGAGTTAACATATATTCACAAATTTACTTACTCGGTTGATTCGACGTTTGGTGTTGTCGGCATTATCATTAATACACAATTTGTGAGAATAGTAAGGATGATGAAAAGTGAAAAGAATTGATGTACTAAAACATAAATAGCTACACGACGAATTGGATTAAACGGGTCAAGTAACCACATTGCTTTTGTTGCGGAAAAGCGAAAAATATCCTTTCCTTTGCTAACAACTACGAATGTCTGGAAAAAGAGATGAACAAAAAACAGATATTAATTTGAAAATTCATTCTAATGCAGAGTGCGTTACTGCTGGCGCTTTTTTTACACGTTTTCTTCTATTCATTTCGATGCTGTACTAGTCTCCATTAAAAGTATTCGACATTTTCTTTTTCTACTATGAAAAAAAAACAAACAATTAGCATAATGTATTTTGTAAGCAATGGGAGACGCAAATAACCCATTCATTTTATTTATCGAATTCCAGTACAAATGCAAATGGGCTGAGCCAGCTGCCAATTAAAATTCCAAGAATGATTTTAAAAACAATGACACTACAATTAAAGCTGAAATGCGCAACAATTGCTTTGGTTTGGCATTGAAATGCACTTAACTGGTGCTTAGATTCTATTTCGGTGCACATTGGGGGAGGCAACTGGGGAGGGAATTTTCCAACCGAATCAATTTATTGCCATTGTATTGGTGAATCTGTGTAACGGAACTAATAACATTTGCACATGAATTTGTTCGGAATTTCAAATAGAATAAACAAGTCATTGGGCGAAATAATTTCCCGTCTCAACTACTCGTTTTGTGACGTCAATGTAACCAAATATTTATCGATTTCACTTTTGATTTTTGCAACAAACATGCAACAACTTGAATTGTAGGCATATTAATATTGGAGAACATGTCGGCAGAAACAAAGAACGCTTACATCATGGAATAAAATATTTATGGAAATCTATGCAATAGGAATCAGTGTATACAGTGACTGTGTGAAATAACCGTCGTTAAAATCAACGTGGCAACGACAGAGAAGTCAAAGTTTTTACATTCCATCGCTGGTATATTATGCAAAGAAAAATGACTTGAACGAATTGAATTCATCGAGAAAGAAAAATTATGATTTGATCCATTCTTTTATTATGGCAGTGGAAGTTCAATGGTCACAAGCACATCAAATGCGTAAGCTATATTTCGCGTTGTCGAACAGCAGTATAGCACAACGCTTATGTATATTTTACCATGATGAGATCTATTGTGCAATTGAAACACGTAATCGGAAGGGTTGAAATCTATTAATCAATCTGGAAAAAAAAGTTGAGGTTTTTTCCTTTCTAAATTGAATGTCGAATTTGTGTGCATTTTAAAAGCCAATTGACTGAAAGCGATTGTTTTGAAAATAAACAACAGCGGAAAAAAACTGTCTTCTCATCGGCATCCGTTGAGCAAACGAATCTTTGCGAAAACCATGTAATAGCAATCCGAAATGCTCTGATCACATTATCAAAGTAACAATAATGTAAAGCGCGTCTGACGCTCTGCATACCCACGTATACACATAAACAAATTGGCACAATTCACATTTGGCTTTCCATTAGATTGGGAAACTACATGCGATGCCCTTTTTTCTTTCCACATTTTTGACTGTGCGAAACAACAACAAAAAAGCGCTTCGTCAAGCTGTTGTTATTGTTGAATCGGATCAAAACGAGCTGGAAGAAAACAAACGAACGAACGGACGAGTGAAAGAAAAGAAAATAATAAAGCAGGTCTCTGCATTTCAATCAATAAAAATGGTAACATACATACACAAATTATTCGTGACTAAATAACACACGTTCGCATTGGCATATGCCGTTGATGCGAACGAGCGGATCACTCAAAATTCATTATTCAGCACATACATGCCCGAAAAATCCACATTCATTGTGAATGTAAACCAACCAATAACACTTTCATTCCAATTCACCGTCCACAGGCACAGAGAGAAAAATAAAGAAATAAATTCGAAATGTTAAAACAAAATGGTACCCGAAATAGTCTCCAGAACCGAGCGCGATGACATAAGCATAAATCACATGCACACGCACACACACCCATACATGAGTATGGTTAAGGAACAATGCAAAAATTACGATGCAGTAGTCGTAACACTTACGTGCGCTTAATTAGGAAAATTTCGTTTGCATTTGTAATTTGGTGTAAATGTGTGTATGTTTTGAATGAAAGCAAAAAAAACTAACGCCAGCAGTTGATTTTCAAGTGAGAGAGAAGGGTAGTGTATTATAGGAGGGGGATAGAGAGGAAACAGTTTAACTTACCAGTTGATTCGAATAATAATTGTCGATATCCTCGAGCGGAGTGGAGGCCAGTTCCGGTGGAAATGAGGCCTGCAATCGAACAGGTATTGGTGCACCCTGTTCGAGAGTAGGATCCGGTTGTGGGCCTTCATCTTCATCGTCGTCATCATATCGGATCTATAGCAATCGAATGCCGTTCACAGTGTACAAGGTGTGAAATGATGAGAAGAACAAATTGTCATTAGTTTTCAATGGAAATTCCAATGCAGTGGTTTGCACTCGACAAATTGTATACATAATAATAATACAACTGAAAATAAAATTGAGCTCTTGTATTGTTGGATTTCGAAAGCGCAACATTTTAAATCTCCAATTGTTTTCAATTCACAAACATAATACAACGATAAGAGAATTTGCTGCACACAATTTTACAGATAAAATGCGGATATTTCATTGTTGTTTTTTTGGTGTATAGAGTGGAACAACAGCCCACAAAGCACACAAAGCACAATACATAAAGCGGAAGCAAAACAACACAAATCACGTCTAAAACGCAAACAATTAGTAGGTGGAAAACTGAAAATGATATAGATAAATAGAAAACGGCAAACATGCACGGAAGAGCACTGGTATTGACATGCAAAAAAATCAACAACAACAAAAACAAAACAGAAAAGAGAAAACGCTACAATTTTCAAAAGTGCATTATAAATAAATGCTAGATTCTAACCAGAAAAAAACGGAAGTTATTGATATCAAAATTTCGATGTACATAAACTAGTTATTACAACCGATGCCATCCGTAATGGCGGAGACCTTCAATAAATCTAGCTAAAAGTAAACATCAGCGGTGACAAATTGATACCAAGCCTGGCATTGACGCAAATTTTTCGATACATTGACACAGCATGAGCGGAAAAACAATAACCAGAAAGCGAGAAAGAAAGAGAGTGAGAAAAAGCCCATTGGAATTCGTCCATCACATAAGGCGGGGAGAGCAAAAAAAAAATCTGAAATTCACGTCGCGCCGGGGAATGCTTGCCAAAAGTCATTTTTATTCATTCCTTTCCCAGAGAAAGAAAACAAAAATTCAAATGACTTTTCAGCCATGTTTTTCGTCGCTATCATTGCTGGCGACATTACTGAATATTAATAATTCGCCCGCTTGGCAGTTTTATCCACACAACACACATAGGGAGAGAGAAAGAGATGAAAACAGAATGAATGTTGACGAAATGCCGTCTATTTTCGAAAAAGAAAGAATGTTGGTCTGCGATCACATTTAGCCATTTTCCCTCTTGCAATGGGTTGCCCCATAACCACGAACTGGAAAATCGAAAACAATATTTTTTGTTGTAAACCATTTGATAAGGTTGTTCTGTTTATCGTCGCAATTTCAATTTTTTTTTTCATTCACGTATCTGGACTTTGTATATCGTTGGTGGCATTCATGTTGCCATTCGAACGTAGTTTAAGGTGGAACACTTGTAAAACGCATATCGAGTTGCGTTTATTTTTGCTGAAATAATCCGAATGGCATACACATTGGATTGCATCCGAAGAGAACATCACTGAGCTGGATGCATTCCAAACAGTAGTCGAACGTGCCTAATCACACAACAAATGATACAATGCATACCGAAGCAGATGGTCAAAATAAATAAATTGTCCGATTTATTTCCACTTCTTTGAATCGCATTAGCAGTATGAATGACACTAATTCGGCCTCGACGTGAAAGCGTGCAATTGTAATCAGCACTGTGTGCGACCTTCAAGTCCTGTGAAGTCTTATACGTGGATAAATTTCAAAAAGTAACATCTCACTGCGTGATGAATGACATTGTTTTTTTTTTCAGTCTCAAGTTCGGGACAACAAAGAAGTGGGAGAGACAAAAAAAATCTGCTTGTTCAGCAAACGATATAAACCAGAAACTCCAAGAATACCAGTGGTATATTATACCACTGACAATTTAGAGAGGAAAAAAAGGGTCGCACAGCAACAAGAAAAATGAAATAAAATATTAAAATTGGCAAATTATGTAAATGAGTTTAAAAATGAAACGCAGAGGACGATGACATCCAATATAAAACTTTATTATGTACGATTAGTTGACGACCACAACTTTAGATTAAATGCAAATAATATCATGAATATTTACATTTTTTCTGTGGGATTTTGAATCGTCGCTCTAATAAAGAGATAACCGGACCGAAATTTTTTAATGGTGGTTGCGGTCGAATAAATGTCCATATAATCATCATTATAAACATTTCATTTGGAGCGTTTTATTGCCCCGCAATTTCTTCTGCTCGGTCTTTGATCAGTAGTTATATTTGTTTTGCCGAAAATACGATTCAGTTACTTGTAAGCCAATTGAATTAAAACTGATGAAAAACAAAGCTTGTAGACACAAAGTGAAAACATAGACGACGAAAACTGTAGAAACAAAAAAGGGAGAACATATACTTTTCTTTCTCTATCATTTTACAAGTTATTTCGAAACCAACTTGATGTATGACGTTCCCTGCTGAGTTCCATCGATTTTTTTTTCGATTGGACGTAACACAGACGACATAAACCACAATTTTTTTCGTTTCCAGAAAAGTAAAGCTCTTGTTAAGCAATTTATTCTTCAAACGTTGGCGCTAGAAATAAATTTCGATTCCGACGCATTCAATGAGTTTGGCTTACTTTTGGGAATGATTTAGGAGTCTGGTATGGAATATAACAATAAACTAAAATATTCCGAAGAACAGTAATGTTAGAAAGTTATTGGTTGCGCTACGCTATATTGAAATTCACCATGGATTAGAAATGGCTCCGGTTCGTCAAAAGTTTCAATTGGAATGTCAATATTTGTACGAAAATCTCCCAATTCGGATTACAAAATGCGGTGGTGACACAGGTGCTCATTTGACCTTCCGGTGAATGTGGCGATTTAGTTTATACGCGCACCATTCGAAATCCTAAAAATACGATTATTATCGACAATTTATGACAAAATATTTTAACAACATCGGCGCTGCAGGCATATTTGTTTTCCAAGCTTTGACCTTTTGAACCGTTCTAGATTTTGAGAAATCAAACTTGTTCATATTTTCCAAACGATAGTGTTGAATGTGATGTTCAATACCGCACGCATGTTAAAGGTTGTCTGCTCTATGTGAATAATAACAACATGAAAGTTTCCATTTTCATTCACGACTTGTAGTAACTTGAATATTACTGTAAATATATTTTCGAGAAAAAATACGGCGAAGGAAAAGTAATATTGATTTTTTATTTCTTCTGTTATTGATGACGCACCAATGATTTCAAAGTTTTTAGCTTGACTTTGATGAAATGTCCAAATCTAGGAAAATGTAACTTTTTTTTGTTCTAAAACAAAAAAATCGAAGCCATTTTATGGCTTACCGAAAATATACATCTATTGTAATGCTTATTCGCAGTACTTCAAGTGATACAGCACCGTTCATCGACCGAAAAAAAACATACTGTTTAGAAAAGCACCAGCAAAAACCCGGTGCAAATATACACTGCGTAGAAATCGCCGCAATGGCGACAGCAACAGATGCTCAACCACACAGATATACACACACATAAATATACTCTGGTATGATACCGTTTTCAAAAGGCCATTTCATCCTTCCACATTGGATCGCTGTGTATGAATCTATTTCAATCGTACCGCGTACATCTCGATTCGGACGTGAATTTTTTCCCATGTATTCTCGTTACATGGCCGTTTTTATGGCTATTCCCGGAGCCATAAATTATATTTTGAGCAAACAAACACATCCTGCATGACTGAGCAAACAACAATTTTTTTTTCTTCGCCAACGCAATTCAATTCCACTGGATAGATCGTCATCACACAGCGGTACAGACATCCGACTTTTGTTTTTATCGCTTCGATATCATGATTGTTTTTGTTTTCTAGTTTCTTTGTATCAACTGTAGTACATACTTTCAATTTTCACCCCTTCGGCAATGTCGTTGGAGCGACAGAGAGAGAGAGAGAGAGAGAGAGAGAGAGAGAGAGAGAGAGAGAGAGAGAGAGAGAGAGAGAGAGAGAGAGAGCGAGAGAGAGAGAGAGAGAGAGAGAGAGAGAGAGAGAGAGAGAGAGAGAGAGAGAGAGAAGAAGAAGCGAATGGTAGAGACGGTCCCATTTTGACACAGCGAAAAAAGTCATTAAAGCAAATATGACCGAAGGGAAAGCAATTTACGCGATGAATTGCTCGTAGACAACTAACAAATCGTCGCTTAAAACCGGGCTCAAAAATGAATAACGTCTTTTTATACATTTCCTTCATTTCGATGGGACATTTCATCTAGTGTATGTAAGCAACTTGCGTTCGAATAACATTACAACTAGTATTCGAAACAAACGTAAAAGCACAGATCTTTTGGAAAACCCAGAAATGAGTTGTGAGGTGCAATGTTACCTAGGTGTACAAATGATTTGCGCCTACGTAACACGTAACGATGCGACGATTGATATGGTCGAATAAATACATGTAGATAAAGTTCATTGATAAGGCTCAGACACGTTTCTAACCGAACAAAAGAATGAGAATTTCCTTTTTCTATTCCGTTGGACCTCCAATAGTATTCACACTAAATATTCCGTCGATTTTATTTACCAATCAAAGAAAACGCAGCATTTCGCATGAGCCGAGGAAAAGGTCAAATGGAATTATGGTGACTTAATATAAAAATCGTTAGGACTTTTCTAGTCGCCAATTCCAGATAAATGCAACGAATGAACAAATGTGAATTTATGTGCGAAACAAATCTTGGTTGATCGCTTTTTGGATCGGTTATTCGCGACGGGTGCGTAACACAACACAAATAAAATTAAGTTGTGCTCTCGTTTTTTTTTTGCTCGTTCCCTTTCGCTCTCTCGTTGCGTCGGATGCTGAGCCAATTTGCGATAATTGAGCCAAGTCGGCACCATATTTGTGCTTTGAAAAGCAAAAGTCATTTGGCACAATATTCAAGGGAAAATCGTTCATTTTATTTCCCTTTGGGTGCATTTAGCTCGTATGAGCGAAAGGATTTTCAAGTATTTTATCGTTAATTGCAACGATAAGTGGGTAAACCGCTTAAGCAAGTCGGCTTCGGTTTTGGGTTGGGTTGGGTTTTGGCTTCAGCTTCGGCAACAGGCAAACAAAAC